AACTGTGGTGTTCGATTGCTGTTGTCAGGTTATGCCATCCAGTATTGTATGAAAGCACTCTATCACTTTTTTTTTTTAATTTGGTGGTATTTTCTTCGGTAAATTTGCAACTACATGTACTAAGACAAGGGGTGTCTGAAAATATTCCATGTTACACTGCAGCGATTTCTCATAGGTGTACTGCATTGTCTTTATTTGTTGAGTTGGCAATTGTTCTGCTGGCTGTGAAGTTGTACTGGAGTTCGTGTAGTACCTTAAGGTCTGAGGCACTATCTGGTGACACTATTTAAGTACCTGTTATTTATTTTTCTGTCTTTGTCGAAAGATGCAGTTAGATGAATGTCAAAGTTGTATGCCACATTTTCTCACATCTTAAGTTCATGTAATTTTTCTTTGATTCAAAAACATATTAACCAAATAAAATAGTTTCATCAAAATTGGTTAGGTCCATCTGCTAAGACCACCTTCCAACCCCCTCCCCCTTCAAAAGAAAAGGACAGCTAGTGTAATTTTAAATCATGTTATTAGATGGACACTTTTTGTCTATTCTTTGTTGTTTTATATTTTAAAATTATAAAGTTGAACAAAGAAATTTCCGGTGCTCTACCAACTGAGCTATCCAGCCCTGTGTTGGCAATTGTCAAATTTGTCAAGTTTTAGTCTTTTGGTGATTTCTTTGATTTGTTTGATCTTGAGGCGGTCATGATGCTGTCATCCAGCTGTGAATGTTTGTGATGAATCCAGTCAATAAAACAATGAAAGTTGGTTATGAAAAGAAAACAAGTTGTCTTTGTTGTACTCATTGACATCTGTTGTGATGAAAAATGTGTGTTGTGTGCTATTAAAATATTAAGGGTCGTAAAGATTCATTGAAATTTGTGTGTATTATCTTTTGCCTCTGAAGATCTTGTTAAGAGCGCAACATCAGGCCACCTGATTTTGTTGATTTATTATCTGGACACATAAACATGTTATTAGCCGACCTGAGATATGTACATGTAGGCAAAATGAAGTGGTTCACATATTTCACTTGTGTAGCCAGCGACCTATTCGATAGCGCTGCTAAGAGCTTATTCCTTTTAATTAATAGAGTCATAATTGGTCGTTGAAGCACTGTGGCATGGGAAATGGCAATAACAGTTTTTATTTCCATATTTACCAACCTCTGCTGTCTATCTGTATCAGAGAGAAAGTAGACTAAATTATTTTAAAGATTATAAAGATTACTATTAACACGAGTCCTTCAATGAAAACAACTTTCACAATCATCCTCAAACTCGCCCAGACCATGTTTATTTCCACATGTCTTACATTCCAGTGCAACCTTCAATGAGAGAGTATTATTTGATGCAAAACTTACAACAAAAGTCCTCTCAAATAACTTGGTCTCCTCTCTATGCCTCACATCCCAAAAACCTCTCCATATGTAATTCTCCTCGGCAAATGGGCATATTGAAGGCTTTTGTGAACTGCTAAAGAAAGATTCTATTTTTTATTTTATAAGACTTCAAATGCAAAAGGCCTTGATGAACACAATTCCTTTCACGACACATTTGTTTTACCTTTTCAATGATACAATTGAAGTAGTTGTGTTGGTGTAAAACTGAATGCTGGACATGTTGGATAACATGGATAAGGCAAAAAAGGTCACATACTCAGTATTGTGTGTTTTGTCCCTACATGTAAAAGAACAAATGTTTGTCTTGCAATTCTCACAATACAGCTTAAAGCAAAAGCGTATTAATTTATTACATCAGTCCAACTTCTACAATGTCCTAATAATTTCAATTATGAATCATTCAGTGGCCCCAATTTTACAAGTTCTTTAATATTTTTTTTGACTACAGGTATCCCTGTAAAAATCTGCAAATCTGAAATCTCTCTTTACTGTTTTAAGACCAAAAAATTGCTAACATGTTGCTTTCATGATACTGACACTTTTATCATACAAGTGCCAGTATTTCCCGATCAAACTATTTTGTGCCATTGCAATATGCTTACACGCGCCGAAACCAGACTATTAACTAAGTACATATACAGGAAACATTCCTTGTCTTTTCAATTGATTCTGCAAACTTACTAGTCTTAATCCAAGAATGAATTTGATTTTTTGATCCTGTCATCTTGTTGATAGCGCCCTCTATTGATTGCCGAACGTGCCAGGGACCAGGCTGCGTTACAACCAAATCAAAATCCAATCTTGGACTAAGACTACACACTTACTTGACCACAAACCTCAAGATACCGTTTGACTAAAATATTTGTAAACATGATCATTCAGACAGGTTTATACATTGCAGCAGATGCACTTTCAACATTGCACATGCCATGAACAGCTAAACACCAAACTATACAAATTCATAAAATTTAACGTGACAGTAATTATGTACACAACCAAATGAAGATTCATACATCTAATAATGCACCTGACAAGTTTGAACGATTTCCAATAGGTCTTGGTTGTACATAATTTGATCAATACATGGAGCTCATAAAATATTATATGTCAAGTTATAGACATTACGTTTTTTAAAATATACACAGTAAATTGTCTTCCGAGTTGCACGTGTTTGGCAACAGTACATTTACATGTATGGAAACAATACAACTCATACAAGAACACCCAACACTGAAACACAGAAACTTTTGTCATGTAGCAAGAAAAATGTCATGTTTGTCTCATTCATAAAGCTTAATCAAGTTTTTAGAATAGCCGGGATATTTATCTTGACAAGGACACACAAGCGTTCCTGAGTTTCACCCAAATATGCTTCAACTATATATTCTATATTTCAGTATATTAGTTTATCGCATTAAGCCCTGTACTGTCCCCAAAATGCCCAGCACTGGTTTCATGGATACATTAAAGAGTAAATACAATGTAATACAGTGCGATAGATTAGTGTGATACAATGTAGTACAGTGTGATACAATGTAGTACAGTGCGATGCAATGTAGTACAGTGTGATACAATGTAATACAAGTGTTAATGTGTTAAAGCTATAGTCCATCATTTGCAGCCATCCGAAAAAGTAACTGGCGTATTATTGTTGAAAAACATACTTGGTTGAAAGATAGTAAGTGGACTAAACTCCCTGGGAAATTATTCTTTCTGGCAAGCTATCATGTTGAAGTAATCAACGAAAGAAGGCCTTTCCAACGGTGCGTCTTAAGACGCACCGTAGGAAAATTTAAATTAGTAGTTCGTTTTGTTATTCGGCGCAGCGCGCGCAAGCATTGGCACGACGCACAGGCTGCAATTCAAAACAATTCAATACATGATTCAGCAACTTTTGATTTGAAATTGAGATCCTAGAATGCTGTTTTTCTCGGAATGTACAGCTGAAGCTGAGCTGTAACTTCATCAGGTTAGTTGTTCAGTATCCTTCATTAGATTTTGAGCACTTTTGTTACTTCAAACGAACAAAATGCACAAATTACAAATGATGGACTATATCTTTAACAAGAATCAATAAACAATTGAAACAGTACGCTAAATTTCATGAAATAGGGCCAGATCGACAGAACACACGTTACCGGCACATTGTAAAGCTTCAATAACAACATTACAGTTACATGTAGCCTTTGCGACTTTCGGGCGATGCAGGATTTAGAAAATGAGCAAACTCCACACTTTACCAAGTAACCATGGTAACTGGTAACACAATAAGTCATAAATTTACCAAAGAGTACATGCAGGTGCTCCAGATGAAACACAAGGTTACAAACCAAGGAAGCTGACACTGTCCTGCCCTGATTATGGCAACATTGCATTCTTTTTTTTTCAGTGTTCAAAGTCACAAACGTGCATTAGTTTAGGGGTGTCAATCAACTTTCTGTGGTAGGGAAGGGACTTCAGATACACACGTTTGTGCACGTGGTATCTATTTAAACAATACATTCCACAATCTCATGTTCGTGATTATGACCAACAAAGGTTAAACTTACCCTGGGTCAAAGAAAGATTTTGAAAGTTTGCTGAGAGTTTTGTAGATAGAATCTTAGCAATGTAGTTAACATGAACTCCAAATACATGATTTAAAAAAAAACACTACTGTTCAATAGTTAAAAATTCCTACTTCAATTCATTTCATTCAGAACAATTTAAAAGCTTTGTAAATTTTGATTTTTTGAAATGTGACAATTTTAGTTCTACATAAACATTGTTTTAGTCCAATTCACTGCAATTAACAGCAATCTCAATTGTAACAACTAGTTTTAAGTCACAAATAAAAAATTATTGATATGTACTTTGTTTTGAATTTACTGATGTTGATTCTCAAATTTCTTAATGTTCTTACTCCAGGATATGAGCAAATATTTCTAAAATCTTAATTTATTTTGGCTTCTTAAGTTAAAGAGTGACATATGAAATGCACGATTATTTCATAATCTGAGCACTTACTCTTCCCCAAAATGTTCAATTTTTAGCTTTTATCAAAAGTCATATTCAGTGAATACTAGCACAATAATATATGTTTGGCAGGTGAGTGAACAATCTATGAATTTGGTTCATAATTATTAACATAAATTATTTTATACAATACACGTAATGTATATACTGTCATTTGAAATTGATCTCGCTGATTTCATACCACCCTGAATGAGTGCTTAATATACAAACTTCTCAACCACTTCTCAACCACTATTCTAAAATTCTAGTCTTCAATTCCTACATAGTCCTCCACACTACCTGATCATAAAAAAACCCAACTTGAGACTTAATCAATGCCTGTGCTCCGTAGTGAATTGACACACTCCTCTTGTTCATACGGTGGTTCATGGATACTAAAAAATGTTGCCACCATCACTGGCCTGTTCTGAGCGAGTCTGCAGTCGACATGTTGTAGTCAAGACCATCACAAGTCCGCACAATTCCTCACAATTCCATCACAAGTCCATCACAAGTCCTCACAAGTCAATTGCAAGTCCTCACAAGTCAATTGCAAGTTCATCACAAGTCCGCACAAGTCCATCACAAGTCCATCACAAGTCCTCACAAGTCCATCACAAGTCCTCACAAGTCAATTGCAAGTCCATGACAAGTCCTCACAAGCCTTCACATTTCCATCTCAGGTCAATCTCAAGTCATCACAATCTCCTCAAATGAAGAGTGACAAAGAAAATTCCTTTGTTATTGTTCATCCCCAGTGACTTGTGACTGGACTTGTGAATTGATGATTTACTTGTGATGAGACTGGTGATGCATTAGTGACGTACTCTACAACACTGACAGTCACTGGACCGATCAGACTCCCCTGGTGCCTGTGTGGATACCGACTTTATCTTTCAACTCCTCAATGGATGGCAGCTGCTGGTACGCCATTCCGATCTGTTCCAGACCACCCTCTACCCAGGCACGCACGGGGACGTAATAAGCCTCCCGGAATTCTCTTACGGATTGATTTTGTCGGAGGGGATCCAGGGTAGGGATGTGATCAGTCTCATAAAGGATTACAAGTGCAACGGCTGTGAGGGTTAACACGATGACCAAGCAAGAGAGGGTGAGTTTGACGAGCATCCAGGATCTAGACCGCCGTGGCTTGTCTGGTTCTGGCTTAATGGCGTTAATCTGTATCTCCTCGACGTGATTACTCGACAGATCCTGATCCGGCACAACCTGCTCGCTCATCACTGCTTGTTCCGTCTCTTCTTCAATCTGCTCTTCGATGGGCTCCTCTTCTTCGATGACGGGCGTGGCATTGTCCACGAAGTCCTCACTGTCGGCATGGATGTCCGAGTCATCGGTGCTTTCGGCAGGCGCCGGGGCGTAGGGCATGAAGGGCTCAGTAATCTTGATGGGAGTGGAGTGGTCGGAGCCTGAGAGCTGGGTAAAACCTGCAATCAATAGAGAAAGGGATAGACGCAGTGGTTCTTTTAAAATCAGATTACTCTTTACAATCTGTGTGTGAATACTCCAAGACACTCTAATAAGATGTGGAGTTTGCTCTTTACCCTACCATGCATGTTTCCTCAGTCGTTATTTAGTCCTCTTCTCCATCTGAAACTGAAATTTCATCCCCTTTGCCTCTTTAACTTAAAGCTGAGAATATCAGTGATGAAGCACTTACTCTACCATCTTAAACATGTTCATAGAAATTGCAGCCGCTGTGTGCATGCACAGCATAACTTGTTATTTGATGGGCCATGCATGTATGGAAGTTTACAAATCACACTACTAAATTTCAAAAAATAATTTTCAAGACAAACATCTGAGCAATTTTCGCTAGGTTGTCTTTCAAAAGCTAGATCAGTCCCCCAGTTCCAACCCCCCCCCCCTGTGAAAATCAATTAATAGCCTAAAATTAAGCAAAAGCCAACAGAATAAAACAAACTGACCATCAAATGTGATCTCAGTTGGTGGATGAAGTGCTGTGTCCCTGAAGGATTGGGCCCTGCGTGGTCTGATCAGAGGTGGACTCCTGAAAAATAAGTCACAAAAATATTGCCGTATACATGTACAAATGTAGTTCATCAGTGGGCATGGTGGGGTTGTTTTATTCAACCCCCCCCCCCCATGTTTTTCCTCTTTTGGGTGTCTGCAACCATCTGAAAATAAAATGTTTTTTGGGGGTCCCAAACCAGGGGTTTTCCTCAGCGGTCGCCCGCTCGCCAAATGCGAGTGAAAACAGCAGCGGGCGAGTCAAAACCCTTCTCTCAGTAGTCCGACGGGCGAGTCAAAAAACTGTTAAAAAAAATAAAAATAACGAAGTTTTCCCTACAGTATTTTTCAATCAATCAAAATAAAAAGTTATTTGTGATACAACACATGAATACTTTTGCCACGCCGACCGAAATAAAAACATCGGTAGTTCGAATTCGTATCACTCCATGTATATTCGCAGTGCGCTGTGCATTGAAATCCCAACGACGAACATGAGGCGAATCGACGTGTATGCCATTACACATTATGCACACATGCAGCGCACGTCCGTACCGTGTGGACTGCAGACGAAGTAAATCACGTACGTACGTTAACATCGTATTCGTATCATACAACGTGGTGAGGAGAAAACTTTCATGACAGTTTCACTGCCAAAACTTGTGCCCGAACGGATTCTTGGGATGATTTCTTGAACACTATCAAGCGAATGTACCGAAAAGATGATGACAATATGAGATTCGAGGGGCCTATTTTGAATGTAAAGACTAGTGAATGTAAAGTGGACCGTGCTCCGGAAAACGTTATGGATTGACGTGACCAGCGTAAGTTCGTGGGTCGCCTGCCCGCAGCGCTTCTTGGCTAGGCACGCTGATTGCACCATTCTTCGCTAGGAATGCATGGCGCGCACGAAAGATGTTTTTTTGAAAATACTGGCCTTCTCACTCATTTTCAAACAAGTTAAAACAGTTCAGTTACTAACTTGGTAAACTCCCATTAATACCACGACTGTGTGCAATGTTTTCTTGTTCCTCAAGATAACGCTTTTTTAGTTCGTGTTTTATCAAAACATGTCGGAAATAGAACACCTAAAGCCTTAAGTTCGGAACGAAGGACACTGCATACATTTTGATTATAACTTCTCCCCCTATTTGATTCCTGTTAATTAAAGCCTTGCTCTATGTTAAAGCATGGACGATTAAAGAAACATTGACATCACTTAAAAAGGAACTACATGCAATATTATGTACATGATTAAGATAATTGCCGATTGTATTCATATTGCATAATTTATTATCAAAAATGTTATCAAAAATGCTTATGGTGATTTGATTGAAAGTTACTACTAAAACATGTGGGCTAGTGAAAAAGGTTGCGGGCCAGTGAAAGCTCTGGTTTACTGGCCCGGCCGGCCAGTAAAGGAAAAAGTTAAGGGAAACCCCTGCAAACATGTCCGCCTTACGAGCAGACTGGTTCGATCTCTGTCTGTACATTATTGATACTGATTGTGGGGTGGGAACCAGACTACCCTGCAAGAACAGAATTATTGTCAGGCCGTGAAGTATTTCGGAATTCGCAGGTAATAAGTCAATAAATAAACTTTAATGTGGGACAATTTTTTGGGGGGGTCTCATTTAAGGGAATGACTTTTTTATTGCCAGAAAAGTAGCGATTTTGAAAAGAAATCTATTTTGGGGGGATGAAACTCGAAAATATCACATGGAATGCAACTTTAAATGCAAGTCTCGAATGTTACTGGAAGAGATCTTACCTTGCAAAACTAGGCTCCTCTCTGCTCAAGCTAGCACTCTTCTCAAGAACTTCACGCTGTGTACGACCACTGGAAGAAAATGGTGATGGAACTTAAATGAGCAATTCCACACAGTACTCTTAACATTTTCAATTTAATTGTGGGAGGTTGTCTTTCAATTTACAGTTTGTGAATATATTACACAACATATCCCATATAGGTTGTCGCATTCATAGTTGTTACATGTACATATTGACATCTGCAGGCATTCATTTAAAACCCTCCCTCTCTGGCTGGCAATTTCAGCTTTGCCATCACAGCAGTCAAAATCAATCAAGTGACTGTTTTTAACAATTAAGAATTCCCTCAATTTGATATAGCCATGCTTTGACTGGAGGTGATTGATATGCCAGCTGTACCTACCAGTTACCTCTTTTGTCAGTTGATGGAATTTGACTAGTCACAGTGTTTACACAAATGTGATTCGACTGTTTATTACAAGCCTGAATTCAAACACATGGCAAGGGAAGTGAAATAAATTTGTGACTGTCTGTGACTGATAAAACATAATCCAACAAATTATTTGCACAACCTCCCTAATGGGACAAGAAGTTGTCAACAATGGATTTAAGTAAACAATCTCCAATTTAGCAAACTCGAATCAAAACAGGAAGTAAGAATGCAAATGTTTTGAACCCCACCCACCCTCCAAAAAAACAAAAACATTACAGAATGCTTGCCCATAAAAATATGGGAAAATATGATAACCCTGCCTTTTTATTCATTTTTACCTGAATCTAAATCGACTTCCTCTGAAGAAGCCACCTGAGCTGTGGGTGGTGACATCGCTGGCCCGCCTGAATCTGGGAACAGAAAATATGGTTATCCCGTTATGTGACAGATATGACAGGAACTTAGTTAAAGGTTTAAAGATACATTCCCCGTGCTATTTTAGAGCTTCACCTCAAAAAGTAGATTTGCTTTCCCGTTGCGATTTTCCTAGCAATATAAAAGTTATTAACTCTTGAATGAGACATCAAATGAAAAGAAATTCTCCGACGTTTAGTTATTTAATTATTTCCTCCCAAAATTTGAATTATTGGCTGCCAGAAAATAATTCGGCTCTCGCGGGGTGGGTTAACTTGTGCGCAAAATGAAAGCCCCTTTTTCATACGTCAGAGGGCTGCAGACGCCCAAAATCGGAATACAGTAGATTTTTTATTTTAAAAAAACATACAAATTGAAAATTGGTTTCTTGACAAAATCCATTTTTTGAAGAGCACAGGGCATACATCTTTAATCACATGCAAAGTTGCAATGACAAAACAAGGTTTTTCAATCAAGGAGTTTCCTCATGTCTCAAGAACTGTGGAGGCAAGGAGGCAAGAGTTTAAAGAAGGGGGCATGCGCCTTCAAGAAAATAATGTCTGTTTTTGGCAGCCATGTCTGTTTTTAAAAGTGTTTATGAACGCTTATGCACAGGATGTATACATGTATAACTTCTTGTTTGAAAAAGGCCAGCAACCGAATCTGAAATGTTTATAAACGGATTTGTGAACAATGATCAAAATCAGTTGCTGTTTGTCATACATCTGCAGGTACACGCAGTGTGTACATTTCGAGTTATCACAGTTATTTGCAAGATGCAAAAAAAAAATCTTTTCATTGATTGCAAAAAGTTTGTAGAAAGCTGTTCAATACTCAGTTTTCTGAATATTGTAAAAACTGTAAAAGGCTTGAAAGGAAGTCATGATTTGCTTTATACAGGGAACGGGAGGAGCAAAAGTTTGGAAGGGGAGGAAATGGGGGGGGGGGGGTATCAACTAGGATGCATCTGTAATTGTGCCTAAATTTAACCGTAACCTTCCCAATCCCTTCAAAATCCACTTTGCATAATGAAGGATTTCGAAGGATTTCGAGGGATTAAGGGGCCATTGCAAATCGAAACACTGGAGGATTTTGCATACATGTACGGTAACAGGATTTTGCCTCTGGCGGATAATGGATGATCCAGGTTTAAAAGCAGTCCCCAACTGAGGCTGGGTGAAATTGGAGGATTAAGGCTCTGGTTAGTTCCCCCCCACCCAAAAAAAAAAGGTTTTGGAGGATTCAAGCTGTTACATATGTACTTGTTTTATGCATAGATGCTTGGGCAGGCATCCAGCATACATGTAGATGTATGAACATGTACAATGTACCATTGCTAATAGCACAGCCTTTTTACTCCAACTAAATAGGCCTCGGTATTGCCAATCCACAATCATGACAATACAGGACAACAATGGAGGAGTTACATGTATACAGGCTAATGAACTCATAAGAGCAATGAAATCTGATTCTGTAATAACATCCCAGCAAACCCAGTGGAGAATTTTGAAAGATCCAGGTAGAGGCCTCCAGCAACAAAAAGTGGATGATTTTGAAGGATTCAGAGGCTTTTTTTTTTTTTTGGCAAAATCGCCCCAAGCAAGGCTATAAAACCACTCTTGGCAAAGAGCTAGAAAGAAGAAAAATATGAAAAGAAAAATAATAATCAGGAAAGCTGGAGGTAGGAATTGATATTCCTCATAAAACAGGCTGGATCATAGAATGGAGGGAAACAGCCACTAGGCAAGCAGTTCCAAAGAGATACAGAATGTGGGAAAAGCTATTAGAGTAGCTCTTTGTTCTACATCTCGGCACACAGCTAGAGTGTATGGGTGAGAGGAAGCAGAGAGCCTTAGAATTGTGTAACTCTTTGTCATTGGAAGATATTGAATTCTTTGTCATTGGAAGATATTGAACTCTTTGCCATTGGAGGATATTGGAGTATTCAGGCCGCTTCTGGGCAAGAGAGGCTAGGGAGTTAGGGTTAATAAACTTTCTCAAAAAGTGATGGGCAAGGTATTACAAGGGAGTTATGAAATGTACCGTGCATGGACAAAAACCTTTTACCTTGTTTTACCTGTTCTGATAAAAAAAAAATTATGAAACAATTCATGATACAAGTTTGTTCTTTTCTTTCTCATTCCTGTTCTGTCAAATTTGCAATCTTGTCACCCATAATATGCTTGTTATCAAGACATAAAAAATAATTATAAAACAGTAATAAACTTGCAAAGTGCTCCACAAACATTGTACATGACATGCAACACACCAGATACATAATCCAAACTGCACAGTCGACTCTCGTTATTACAAATTTGGTTACTACAAGATTCTGATTATAGGCTCTGTGCACAAGTACCCCCTCAATGGTTACATAGGGAGAGTTGGGGGAGACCACTGGGAGTGTCATTCAAATGCATTGCTGACGGCGCCTGGCGCTCACGCAAAGACGCCATGGCTTTGTGCACATTCAGAATAAAATGAGTCATGCGTACTTCGCGCTATACGCGCGTGTGAACCAGTACGCGCACGCGGTGCATCTCATCCACTGCGCTCTCGAAGCGGTCGTAAAGGGCCCTCTACTGTTCGCGCCCCGAGTCCATAGTGAACATACATTGTACATGTAAAGCCTTGGTTCCAACTGTGCATTTATGGACATAATGAATGGGAACCGCGCTCCTCTAAACACAAAATTCACATACACATACATACACCTGTATGTACGTGTACATGTGATAAACATTTTGGTTAGGTCTGCCTGAATTTGTATTAACGAGAGTCAACTTGTATTTTGCAAAAGACCAAATAGAAATTCAAATGGAAAGAAGGAAGAGAAAACAAATGGGAATGACAAGCAAACAACAATGAAACATGTGGCGTGCGATCTGTGTGCAATAATACATGCATTAGTTTTACCCTAATAGTGAAGATCTACGCCGATGACTGCTGGGGCTATGGGTAGAAATGGGAACAGGACAGCAGTGGTTTAATCACTAGGAACACTACAAAACAATCTATACATGTAAAATGTAATTTCTATAACAAAAAATGCACATTACAATGGGAATGTACAGATACATATAGTTTGAACCCCCCCCCCCCCCCCCTATCCTACGGCAGATAGGTGATGAGTTGCGCCTTTGATGATACAAGCTATAGCATTTGGCACACAGTCAGAGTTTCCTAAGAAAGATATTTAGCTAGGGCAATCGCAGATTTGTCCTTTAAAAAAATATTGGTAGAATAACAAGCAATGGCAGCCATTTTGAAAATTACTTGTTAGGCCACCAAAAAAATAGTCGGTCTCTGGTCAGACCGAAGTTCCGGAATTGATGCGACGACACATTTTTTTTTGTTTTTTTGTGGCTTTTTTTTTTTTCAAGCTTGTATTGTACAGACAAGGTGGGTACTATTTTGCTTTTTTGTGTCCTCATTATACATTGGTGTCCTCCATAATTTGCCTTGGTGCCCTTTATCATTTGCCTTGGTGCAATTTCCCCATTCCTTGGTGCTCCTTGGTACAAAAATTTGAGGAGGCGCAGCAATAGGGGGCGCTGTTGTAGCTTCCGTGTTAATTTGAAGAAAAAAAAAAGGTTGACGCGCATGATTAAAATCGACGCGCGCGCTGACCAGAGACCGACTTTTTTTTTTTTTTTTGCCTTATTCTGCCTATATTATTTTCAAAGGACAAATCTGTGATGGCCCTATAGCCAATAGCCAATGTATCTTTCTTAAGACATACATAAATGTACAATGTACACTGACTGTGTGCCAAATGCCATGCTTCTATCAGCAAAGGCACAATTCCCCCGAATATTTCCCCTATCAGCCCCACTACAAACATGAGCAAAGTCAAATTCTTGTTATACATTTGTACATGTACACTGTACACGTATGGTAATTTGAGTATTTTTCAAATTTTGAGTATTTTTTCCAAATTATGTGTTGTGTAGGGCATTGCTGTTGATAAGCTTAAGATTATCACATTATTTTTCCATACGTTTTTAAGCCTTTGCTTTGTACATGTACCTGTAGAACATCAGAATGTTTCCTTTTTTGGGGAGGGGGGAAATTATTCAACTATCACAAAACTTACATTTCACAATAAAATGTACACAAACATATAAAAAATAACACAATCATGACCATGGGGCTTCTCTGAAAAAAAAACACACACTGTGTCACGCAAGGTAATACCTTCAATTAGAAATTTATGCAAAACTATATATCAATTTTGTGGTATACGTCCCAGCTACATTTGTATGTTCAGAGCAAGGGTACATGTAAGTCGGTGGTGCATGCATTCTACATGTAGACTTACATGTACATGTATGAGATCATTACAAATGTATTACATGTTCAATTGCTTTGACAGTGAATGCAATTACATGCATGCTCGTTAGCATCTACAGTGACTTAGCTATACACTACATGTACGTACACGTATGTAAATACATGTGCATACACACTGCACTTAAAGTAGTACAAGTACAAGTAGTAGTACAAGTACATGTACATACAGTGGACTGTACATGTAGTACTGCACAAATTAGATTGTACATGTATGTGAATACACATGTATAAATACCTATATTTTTGCAGAGAGAAAGTTCGCAATGCCAGCACAATTGTAAGCTTTCAAGACATTAAAGTCAATGCCGACACCTGATACAGTGACCTCAATAGTACGAGTTGACTCGGAACATTTCATTGTTTAAGTCTACATGTACGCATTCCAAACATGAAACGCTGTATTCTAAGAAACCCATTGAAGTACGCGTTTAAAGAACTACTGATAATAAAAGGCTTTCATTTTCACTTGCTGACATAGGGTCTATTGCCGACAGTGGAACTGAAGATATATGCATTGTAACAGAAACAAAAGGGCTCAGCAAAACAACAAGCCCCCCCCCCCCCTCCAAATATGGTGTGAAAATGAAGTTTCTTCATTTTACTTCAGTTGAATAGCACTGGTTTCTATCATACATGGAAATGTAATTTGTAACAGGAGGGCTGAGAATGAAATGTAGATTGAACCACAAAGGTTGAACTACACTTGTCTGTATCTGCTTTTAAGACTACACAGAGGTTGGTCATTTTCGTGACAAATGACTCGATAAAATTGCTAGGTCCATCTTCCTCTTAAACTGACATTGAAAGCTGCTGCAAAGGTGAAACATGCTTTCCTATTGTCATACTGTTTAATACTGAACAGTTGTTCATATTTTCAAAACAGTTTGATTACTAGCAAGAAAACGAATGAATACACAGATTGAAAAGTGTGAACTTACTTGAAAAAAGCTTGGTGGTCTAGCGCACTTTTCCACAGATGTTTGGTAGCTGCGGACGTTAATAACCTGAAGCCATGATTCACTCGTCTCTACAATTAAAAGAATATGAACAGCCACAGACAGTCAAAAATTCAATCCTGTTCCCCTGCCATGCCTTTAATACACAGGCTAGTCACCAACAGTCAGATCATATTTCTTGTAGGCACTGTGACTAGTCAAACTCCATCAACAGACAAAAGCAGGCGACTGGTAGGCACAGCTGGCTTATCAATCTCCTACAGTCAAGGTATAGCTACATTTGTATATCAGGTTTCAAACAATCACAGCCAGTCAATCCTGCTTTATGAAGGCAGCGAGCACTCAACTGTTGAAAACAGTCACTTGATTTATTTTGACTGCTGGGCTGGCCTTGTTGAAATTGCCAGCCAGAGAGGGAGGGTTACTCTTGAGATATGCTAGCCATTTCATGCTTAGATTGTACATGTATAGTTTCTTTGCTTTCATAATTTTTTTTATCGTAGAACCATGTCAAGGAATTAACGCATAACATTTTAATCATACATGTCCCACCATGATCCCGGAAAAGCATTGCAGGTTAGTGCCTTATGTCTGATTTATCATAAAAACTCAAATTTTGGCAATACGTAAGTTTACGCACTGCGAATAGCAAGACTTGAACACACTGCAACTTTGGTGAATTTGTCTGCAAAGTTTGGGACAACACACTGGTTCTTACCATCGCAGTCACATGAAATATAAACTGGTCTTTAGACTATAAACGCATCGGGTTGATTTGAATTAGAGCAGGGGGGACTGAACCATTATGCAATAAAAGAGATTTAATTGTACATGAAAACTCCTAGTCTTTGCATACATGGCACAATTTCATAATCACAATTTTAAAAATTTCACATAAAATGCCATCAAATAACATTCTGAGCCTAACCTCCCCTGCTAAAGCATGGATGAAGAATGTCCGTCCCTCGTAGCTGAATTTCCGGATGTCGTCCCATTTGAATGTCTCCACCACTGCGTTGGCTCTGAAGACCAAGAGACCGGCATGGTTCATGCAGATGTGCAGAGCAGTGCCATAGATATCCTGTCAACAAAATTAGAATAAAGATATCACGGGTCTTGCCCTCATTAAAACATCACTAAATCTATTGAGACAAGATTTTGTAAAATAAATTTGTCCAAAAGATTCTTTAAAATCGTGCATGAAATGTTAATCTATATGTATGGTGGGAAGGTACCTTGCGTGATAAAATCCTTATTATACATACGTAGAAATGTACACAATAACCACTTTGACACAGACTAATGAGTTATTAATAAGTTAGTGTAAATTGAGTGCTGTTAATGAAATTGGAGAAAAATACATGAAACAATATTGGCCAGCAGGACTCAAAGCGCTGTGGTGTTTGTGCCAATGTATTTGTTTGTCATCCTGAGTTAAGGATGTACGGTAATAGTATTGCAGAGATTCAACAATTTCTTACGTTTAACAGTTATTGTTATTGTTATTATGATTATTTATTCAGCCATCACAAACAAGGACAACAATACAGAACAACAATACAGAACAACAATACAGAACACTAGGCTTGGAGCAGCAAAAGCAAAGAAATTAATGTGATCTGTAGACCTACTACCCCACATCTGGATGTACATGTAAGAACAAACTAATGTTATATACATTTATACAACACCTGAATAAATCCCCGTCATCTGATTGGTGAATTGTAGATCACGTGACATATTATTATTCGGTATAATGCACGGTGCGACCATGCGTTATACCCATGCGTTATACCGTTTCACTTTGCGCTTGTTCCATGACGCGGTATTTGCGTGCAAAATGCATGCTGGTGTGCGCGTTCAGCGTAGCGCGTATTGTTCCAAAGAGCCAGCGCTACAGCGTTGGGTTCAAACATTTTCGTGAAGGGGTAGTTCAACATCTTTAAAATCAAAATAAATTGTAGTTTATAATTTACCAATCAAATGACGAGAATTTATTCAGGTGTTGTATAAAACAAATAACGAATGTTTTACGTTCGTGCGATGGAAAGAATAATTTCATTCGGTGACAGATTGAATGTTCTATTCCACTCGGCTTCCCCTCGTGGAATAGAACATTCAATCTGTCACCTCATGAAATTATTCTTACCATCGCACTCACAAGCATTCGTTATTTGTATAACAGTTGATGCATTATTTAATTCAGCTAGTTTGCAAACAAGCTTTACACTATGAAGCTTACCCGGACAGGATGAGGGTCAATCCCATAAGTCTCAAGACTAAATGCATGCTTGATGAAGGCAAACTCTGCATCGCTAGGCTTCAGTCCCCTACAACAGAAAACCATCACAATTAGATACATTTAATACATTGTAAAACAGGAGTAGTTTCTTTTCTTTTTTTCTTCAATACATGTAGGTGTTTTTCTCTTCTCCTAATATGGAAATCAATGCAAATGCCATCATACAAATATAGAGAGAATTTGCAATGACAATATGTACTATATGTAATATCAGCATCATCATTTATAACTCACTTCTTTTGTTCATTACAGAACAATAAACAGAGTAGTAATTTTTAATGCTGCCATACATGTACATTGTACCGTTGTGGTCATAAATATGGCTATGCACAGGACTCATACAATATCAGCACTACAAACTTTTAAGATTTTACAAACAGTCAAATCTCTCCAAAAACTAAATTGATCATCTTCACCCTTTCTCAAGTATGCACTTTTAGCATTAGTAGAAGTACAGAAGAATTTCAAATGAGCATCCAAGCCCTGAATTTCATTACTATTGGACACATAGGATCTTTTTCTTTTCTTCACGAAGGAAAGCTATGACAGAATACACTGTTCATCTCTACATTTCTCAAGTATGCATTATTGGAATTAATGCAGTACCTAATTTCAGGTTAGCATCTAAGCCCAGACCCTAATTGTCATTTGATACTTAAGATGTGGAAAGAGTTCCATACCTGGACATCATTTGACACCCTGTGCACAAACCCTATGAGACTGGTCTGACAAATTCCAAGTGTTTTCTCAGTAAATGCTTACAATAGATTCCCTGCTAAATTTGACTTTTTAGGACATGTGATTGCTTTCTGATGGCTGATACGTGTAGATCACAGCAGCGAATAATTAGTGATGGCCATGTATGGAATTCTTCCCGAAGATATTTCTTAAAATCCTCTTCACAGAGGAGAACACGGATTGCCTTTGTTTCAACTTCATATGTTCACAGTTCTCACCTGGTATGCTTTTCGTGCAGTTCCTCAATCTGTCCCTCCAGTTTCTCGGTTTGTTTCGGCACAAACTGAAAGCCTGACGCGTAGCCCGGTGAGTGTTCCTCTGGGTCATAGTCCCTAAGGTTCGCTGCAAATTTAGAAGAAAAATTATGGGTACCTGTATGTCCTCTGAGCATTTGGCCTCCCTACCCACAACCACCCCTTCCCAGGGTTTAGCCAGAGGGGTGTCTGGGGTCGTTTGGATGCCCTATAGGCTGTTTTGGACCTCTAGCTATTTTAGACCAAAGTTGTAATGCAAATGTAGGACAAAGCATGGAACTTCAGCAACTTGAAAACCCTGTTTTTTAATTAAAGGCAAATGTGGACTTCCATCTATTTCAAAAGCTGGCAAAAGCCTTGCCTCTCCCCAAAAATTACTTGTCAAAAAACCTCCAATATTTAAGAAAGTGTTATCAGCACCGTCTTCTTTGAAAATGTAATCAGAAATTAGTTGATTCTTCCTGAAATACATTGAATGGGAATCACACTTTTTCTACTAAAAAATATATGGATTTGCACATAATTATAGTCAGAATGAAATAGTAGCAAGTAGTGTTTTTTTTTTCATTCATCATGAAGTTAAATTAAATAGACGGTATGTACATAAAGGAGTACCCTTTACTGTGAAAAATAGTCTGGGAAGTAACACTTAATATCACATTTCAAATCAGGAACAAGTTGACATAGGAAACTAAAAACTGTTTCCTTTCTTCTTAAAAATGATTGATTCCATTGTTAATCCAATCACACTGCCTTATTCGTCTGAGATGGGATAGGTGAGAACACAAAGCTTTTATTGATGAATGGAAACAAGAGACATTGTAATAAAAAAGATTTTATAAATGAAAATCAAATACAAATATCCGACCAATTTTGCTCTACACTCGTAAATCCCTATGGGCACTTGATAGAATGTTGTTCTGCCAGCTACACAAAACCCTAAAAAAAACTGAAGTCTTTATATGTCAAATTCTTGGTCATTGTTTCTTACATTGCACAATGTAGGATCCAAGTATGGCAGCATCATCCCTGGTACACGTCAACCTCCCATGCAAGAGATCCTTCTGGAGTTGCAGGAATAGCTGGTACTTTGTGATCTCTTCTTTCAGGTCGTCAGGATTGGCTGGGTAGTACTTGACACGGAACACCACTGTGTAGGGTGGGCCAGTGCCTGCAGGATGATTGGATACATGGGATTTTAAATCAAACAAGAGGGTGAAATGTGACACAAAACAAGGCTTGGACTATTTGAACCCTCACCATCAATTTTATGCAAACAAATGCACAATTTAATTTTTAAGTAAGAATGCATTTTAGTATATTGAACATGTTAAGAACGATTAAGAACACCGGACTCATGCTCTGGTGTTTCAGAGGCAACAGTGGCGTGGGTTCAAGCCCGCTGGGGGGGACACTTGTGCCCTTGAGCAAGGCACTTAACCATTATTGCTTCGTCCTTCGGATGGGACGTAAAGCAGTACCGGTAGGTCCCGCGTGTTGTGTAATCCAATGCAGGTAAAAGAACCCAGTGACACTTATCGCTAAGAGAAGGGGTTTGCCCCGGTGTTTCTGGTCTCCTGTATAAACTCCCACACGGGGTATTTAGGAGATGAACTAATAAAGATTGTACAGAAACTGACAGACAAAATCCCTCCATCACACATTTTTTTAGTTTAGCTTAAAAAAAAACTGAACTTGTTTCCAAAAATGTATCAACAATGTATGTTTTCCATCGTATCAACAATCTCAAAGCGCTTTACAGTTACAATGCCAGTGTACTTTACCTCTGAGCTGTTTCACGATGCTTTTCTTCAGGTCAAGCCAATGCTGTTGAAAACAAAAATCGGAAAACAACATTTCAAAACACAGGCGAACTTGTAGTTGTACATGATAAAGTTGTACAAGTATTCTTGACCTGAAACCATACAAGCTTTAAAATATACTTACATGTAGTTTTAGACCAGAAACACACAAATCTAGGCCTTTGAATAAATTGCCCATGAAATGTGGATATTTCTTATGAAGCCTAATAATACTGACATTTCTTATGTCCCAGTTACCTCTGAACATTGTAATTTACCATTCAAGTACAACTGAGAATGACTTCAAAATAATTTTCTATTTGGTTTGCTATTTATAATCACTCTTGGAGGATGACCGCATTAAGGAGTTCATCAGAATTATAAAATCATAGACGTCAGATGTACAAATGTACCTGGTTAATGGTTAAATCATGAAATCTAAGATATTGTTCCACTCCTTAAACTAGGCAATTTACTGATCATTTACCACATTTGTAAAAAAAAAATTTTGCAGTGTAAGTACATTCCAGTACGAAAGGGCAGCTCAAAATTGCCTGTGGCTAGGATTTTTTGTCTAAACAGTTTTGTGTACAATATCACACTCTGAACAAGTACATGTCCATTGAGCATGCCCAATGTACATGTTCACGTACATACATGTATTTTCAATTTGTTCTCACCCTTTGCTTTTCTCCGTCAATGTAGCGAAGGCCAAAGTAATCTTTCTCAGCCAGGTTCTGTCTGCTGCAGGCCTCATCAAGCAAGTACTGACCCTTGGCATCTTTCTGTAATAGAATCAACAATTTGCAGGTCAAACTAAAAATACATTGTACTTTAATCAGCTGTTTAAAAAAAACTACTTTTTATTGCCAACACTATTTTCCTCTTTTTTTATGTGTTTAATATAAACATTGGATACAGTATGCAAGTATCTGACACAGTATCTGTACATGTATATAAAAAGGTGCTTCCAATGAATTTTTAAAAATGTGTATTGGGATTACATGTATATCCCAAAATTTTAAACAACTGTAGTCTGTGTTGAGTTCGTGTTCATGTTTATCATCAAAATTATAAAGCCACATAATTGTCGTGTTCTCAGATCTTAAGCATACATGTACATGTACATTTTAAAAATCACACAACCCTATGACAACACATACAAAAATCAGATACGTCCCGGTACAATGATGGGGGAAAAATATATATTTTTAGCTTGGTACTAAATTTAGTCATCGAGCACCAAGATACATGTAAGTGCAGTGTGATTTAATTCTATGATTTTACAATAACGGCGCTAGGCACAATATATTCCTGGATAACCATGTACATGTACAGTTGTATACAACATGTACACAATTTGCAGAATGCAGCAATGTCAATTTCATATGTTAACGATGTACTTTTAATGCTTTATTAAAAAAAAAAGCTGCAAATATTTCAAATTTCTTCAGGTAAGTATTCCACAATTAAACTGATTTTTTTCGTTTTATGTTTTACTCAAAACTGAATAAATTTTTGTATCGCTAGACAAATAGCAATTTATTTTTAAATTTATCTGCAGTGAAACTCAAATAGCATGAACAGTACAGGTACATCTTTGATGACAGTACTTTTCATCAAATTGAATGGGTCAATAAATATTTCATGATGAATCTTTGAGTTTGAAGATGAAAATCTCCAGTGAAGTCAATTGCTTGCCCAAGGCCCTATTTATTATGTGCCCATACATGTATGATACAATGTTATGAGCCTACAGTCATGACAGTTTCCATGCAAGTACAATGTACTCTAGGCTCTCCTTGAATCGACTCTTGACTTGTGTGGACATGTACATGTAAGATGAGCAGAGAGACAAACAGTTGTCCATCATCTCCCATGTGACATCTAATGGGATTCCTACCATTCTTCTATAAAGGTTATATGGCTAGGCAGATCCGTATGGAAAATACAGTTCATTTACCGGTACACAGTGCAGGGTCCATACATCACAAAGAACATAAAACACAGCAATGACAGGCCCATAAACAAAATTTCATGGTTTTCATTTTATAAAAACTAATTTTTTTTCTTCTAATTTACATTTTTTAAAAGCATGTACATGTATCATACATCATGTACATGTATGTACACTGGACATGTACATGTATTCTTGGACATACATGTTCATGTGGATTCCACAATACATTGTGTACGTGTTTATGGACACATACATGTACATGTACATAACATGCTGGCACAAACAATGTACAGTGTACGTACATGTTGTACATCTTATCTGCACAGAAACATCATCATCATCATCATCAGTCGCTAGTGGTTTCATTTTTTTGAAATTCATTTCTGATCTTTTCCAATAAGATATTTGTTTATTCTTTTGTTTACAATGTAACCTGACATGTATCAGATCATGTAAAGAAATTCTCTCTTCTTCATTTAGTTGACTGCCTAGCTGTTTAAATTTAAGTGTAAAGAAAATCAATAATGTACATACATACATGTACATGTACATGTATGTACATGACATGTATACCTTACAGTACAGGGAATACATCCAACAAAAATATACAAGCATGTACATGTGTACACAGTATGTGTATATTCTGTAGATCCATCAATTGATCCCCACAGCAACACTATGACACACAGCCTAATTAAGCCAGTAGGCCTTTCGTCCCCACAAGCAAATGTACATGTATGTACCGTACGATACATGTAGATTGCGTCTAGCACCAGTTGATTTTGCAGGGCCTGAGTTTTTGGCATGGATCCAGCGATCATTCAGGTTGCAGACCAGTAAATAAACTGCCATAGACCCAATGATAAATGTCCCCACTTCCAAAATTCAGGAAAAATACTCACAACTCTCCTTGGAAGGTATTCGAGACACACATCAAATCAAAGCTAATTTCATCATCTTTCACATATTTTCTTTTAAATTTTGGGGGGTTAACTGATGACTTTTAGGAGAAAGTTCCATCCGAAGATGATCAGCCCTTAAAATAGTCCTGAAGCCCATCACCATTTTGAAAAACGACAAATACACTCCAGTCCAAAATAGAGCACTGTTAGGGCTCCAATTTCATCCAAATTGCACGGAACTACAAGCTCACAGTCCTGTGCACGGCTTCCACCCATATTTTTTACAAACCCTCAAGTTCATGGTCCACAATATGCTCAAATAACGAAGAATTTGAGGGCATGCAAATCGTGATTTGGCCAGTGTAGGCGATTTTGGACCGATTTACTGGCCTGCAACCTTCAATTCAGAACTTGCACCATTGACCACTCACGCGGAGCAAACTACCGGTATGATTGGCCAATAGGGAAAGTATCGGTTTGTGCTATTGGCCAATCCGTCATTTGTATATTGAGAATATAATTTATTTTAAATTAACTAATGAAAGCTTTTGCAAAATAATGAATTTTCGTGCAACTGCCGCGGGGAGGTGCGGGCAGTGGACGCAAATCTAAAAGTAAACCTTCATTCTCACGTGTCTCACGGCCTAAACACCCCGATTAAATAAGAAAATAGCCTGCTGTGTCATGTGCTGTGTGCTGCGGTGAAGTCTGCTTTACTAAAAGGCTTTAGGTTCAAAATGTAATTTTTGAGTAATAAAAAGATAGTGGATATTTTGCCGGCGGTAATCCCAGCAAGCTAACGTTTACTAAAGGTTTGCCGGCGGCAATCCTTATCAACAGAGGGCGCTGTACTCTCTAAGATAGGGCTGAATTATAAATTAAGATATATTAAATTACCACCAACTCTTGTGTAGCAAGCAATGGATCTCATGAGCGGGAAGACCCGGGTTCGATCCCGATCCCCGCTGGCGACATTTCTTCTTCTTTTTTCCCCATCCCCAAAAGATAAGAATATTCTTCTTTTATTATTTTAACATGTCTCAAACATTTTATTGCAGAGTATTACATTTTCTTTTTCAGATTTGTGGTTCTGGAGGATTTTTTTTTAAAGGGAAATAATGTCCGAAATTGTAAAATGGTCTGACATGTCTCTCTGATTCCCATCTTGTGAATACAAAGTTACAACGATAATGTTGGCAATGGCATGGAGCTTTGTCACCGGAAAATGTCCAAGTACAAAAAAACAGTAACTGCACATGTTCAGTGCATATCCGGCAAGCTAACGTTTACTTAAGGTTTGCCGTCTCCGTCTCCGGCTCCACTGCCTAATATACTAGTAATAAAAACACTCTTGTCGACATGCTTGACTCTCAATTTGATCGAAACAAAACAGGGGCCCCAACGCCCCCAGGCTACACTACACGATTGCCATATACTAGGCTTAAGTATAGCTGGAGTTACCCAGCCCTGAGTTTTATCATTGGGTTGTCATCTAGGGCTGGAGCGAGTTTTTCTCGTAACTTGTAGTATAGGCAAAAAATTTTGGAAAATGTTCAACTTTGTCCCCGTTACACACTAATTGCAACTGCAACTCACCCCAAACTTGCCTGGAATAACCATTACACAGGTCCTTGAAGTAAAAAATGATCCACGATGAAGATTCAGCCTACAATTGCAGTGAAAACAGGAGGAATAACCGCTAACTTGACAACCTTGCTGGATTGGCCAGGACCGCAATTGGTTTGTGCACAAAAAAAATTGTGTACAATGAATGGCGGTCGATTAACAGGCACAGAGAGCGATCGCTGTCAACTACTCGGTTTTGCCAGCTGCGCTGGCTGTTGGCGCATGACGTCACGCGGAAGCGTAACACCCGATGACTGTTTCATGCACTAATATAAGGTTTACCACTCGCATCACAGCTTTGGTACTGGAACCGCAACCAATAGTGCATGAAACAGTCATCGGGTGTTACGCTTCCGCGTGACGTCATGCGCCAACAGCCAGCGCAGCCGGCAAAACCGAGTAGTTGACAGCGATCGCTCTCTGTGCCTGTTAATCGACCGCCATTCATTGTACACAATTTTTTTTGTGCACAAACCAATTGCGGTCCTGGCCATGCCAGCAAGGTTGTCAGGTTAGCGGTTATTCCTCCTGTTTTCACTGCAATTGTAGGCTGAATCTTCATCGTGGATCGTTTTTTACTTCAAGGACCTGTGTAATGGTTATTCCAGGCAAGTTTGGGGTGAGTTGCAGTTGCAATTAGTGTGTAACGGGGACAAAATGGAACATTTTCCAAAAATGTTTGCCTATACTACAAGTTACGAGAAAAACTCGCTCCAGCCCTAGATTGACAACCCAATGATAAAACTCAGGGCTGGGTAACTCCAGCTAGCTTAAGTACTGATACTACAAAAGTGCCCCCACCCCCTCCCTTTTCCCCCGTTTCTACACCTGCCGTAGATATGCACAGTCACTGACAAGTAACATTTTCGTTTTGCGAGACCGTGACCGTCACCGTATACCCTGATACCGAGTGTGTGACTGCATGACTTGTGTGAGCGATGGCCGATGCTGCATGGCATGGCATGGGGTTTACACACGACAAACTACCTACCTTGAAATCGACGACAATCGCCTCCGCCTGGTCATCAAGCACCTTGACTGTGCACTGGAATACTCGCGCCATGGATGTGTCACATTTTAGCACACAAACACCAAAACATCTTCAGAAAAGCGGCGGTTCTTTCACAGCATAAACCCCCGCATCAAAATCCCACCTAATCTACTCGATTCCCCATTCCCTTTTTAGTCCCGTTTGTTTTCTAGAATATATACGTCAACGGGACACCGGCAACCCGATGTAACCTTCTTTGAACATAATTGTATGGTGTTGGTTGTGTTGGTACGCGCGTACATACTTAAGCTGCATGTGATTTACGAACGGTGTCTGAGTGGAGTAAACACCGCCCCCATGTGCTCATATTTCATAATGCCAAAATAAGAGAGAAAATACTTAGGCCTAATTTACTTTTTTCTAAAAAGGCTTCAGTAAAATTTTCTTTTCAATTTCTATTTAAAAACTTGATGCAGAAGAATGGCAATTGTAGTGTTGATGGGTGTCTGTGGAAGCGGAAAGTAATTTTGTATTTATAATGTAATTTTGTATCATTGTTAGACATGTTACTTGTTAAAAATGCTTGGATTTAGAGAAGGGACTTTATTTATGATGTATTTAAAATTTTAAACACACAGTTCAGTTCAGTATATATCTGGCCTTGTATTGGAGATCATTGTCACTGTAGCAATTGTGTAAGAACACCAGTGGTGGTGAAATGACGTGTGATATAATGTGGATCGACAGCTGGTCTAATTCTTCCTCTGTCTGTGATAAACAGAAGTAACAAAATTGTCACTTAATTTAAATATAACGACCCTCTCTACATTCACAGTGAGGACACTTTACTTGTGCAAGTGCTTGCTCGACCCTCTGTTTTCCTTCCGCCATGCTTGACTATGGACAGGTCAGAAAATGAAAGATGATGAGATAAACTTTAATTTGATGTGTGTCTCAAACACCTTGGAGAGTTGTGTGTACATGTATCTTTCCTGAATTTCGGAAGTGGGCATATTGACCACTGTTCTGCAACCTCAGCGTGATTACTGTACAAAATGTAAGAGGACCTCACTACATAACCATGGAGGAAGGAACACAAACGACTCAAACTCTAGATGCATTGCATAATATGCAGCCAAAAACAGAGTCCAAATAACTAAACTGTATTTAATTTTTTTTCAATTCTAGATCCACGGTTGGCAGATGCCTTTCTGAAAAGGTACGAGTTCATATTTTGTAACCTATGTTAAAGAACCACAATTCTACAAAACTGTGCCTTTAATTACTAAGCATGTTTCTGTGATACATCTATTTATGTTATTTTGTGCCTTACTGCAGACTGGTTGGCCATTTGTAGATGCAGACGACCACCACCCAAAGACAAACAAACAAAAAATGGCAAAGGGAATTCCCCTGAATGACGAGGTACACTGTCATTACAATAGGGGTCATTCTTTAAATTTAAGACCCACTTTTTCCTGTCCCTGTTACATCTGACAGCTATGATTTTATAATTCTGATGCACTCCTTAATGCAGTCATCCTTCAAGAGTGATTATGAATAGCAAACTACAATTGTAGCTACCCAACAAATACAAACATGTTTCAAGTCATTCTTAATGATACCTGAATGGCAAATTACAAAGTACCAAGGTAACAGGGACAGGAAAAATGTCACACTTTGGACACTAAATTTATAGAATGACCCATACCTCAGTGTATAAACTTATAAAATGGAATATTCAACCTCACAATGACAGTAATTATCTTGTGCCAGCACGATTTTCTTTGAGAAAATACAAGCCAAAATACAGAAACTTTGAGCCAAGTGGACAATTTACATCCAGGGACTTGAAATTCCATAGCATTGATACATTTTGTTTCATAAATTTCTCATTATTTGTTTGCATGACCATTATGGCAAAGATTAAATTAATGTTTCGTATCAGTATCATTGTAACAAGAGGTCATCAAGATGTCATCAGAGAGGATTGCCGATTTGTTGTAGTCACTTGTTGACAAAATGATTCAAGGAACAATGTTTTCCTTCTAGGATCGACATGGATGGCTTCTCACCTTGCACCACATTCTAAGAAGGTAAACCTTGAACTTTCCTATCAATTTGGAGATGTTTATTATTGAGTAGGTAATTTGCTAGCTGGCGGTAAGGGAGGGTTGGAGTGTCATAAAAATAAAAATAGCCAAGATTAATGCAATCTCTTTCGTTCTACCATTTTCAATTCACAAATTGGGAAATTATTGTGCTAAAGACGTGTGTTGTGCCATTCATTTAGACAGAGCACATCTGACAATAGTTGATACAGAACATCTGCTTTGGATTTATATTTGCAACCACTGTAATTTTCCACATTTCCTTTTTTTAACAGCTGGAAGATTAACAACCAGAGTGGTATTCTAGCCTGCTCTGCTTTAAAAAGAAGCTATCGAGAAATCCTGTGCACAGGACGGACAGAAATAGGACATAACAGTTCTGAAGGGACAACAGACAATGCAGGAACTTTAAAAGACAGCATTATCTTTGTCTATCTTAAGGGATCAGCGGAGGCCATTTTGTCCAGAATGACGGGTCGGGACAGTCACTTCATGCCAGTGTCGTTACTTGATTCCCAGTTTAAGACACTCGAGGAACCACATCCCGAAGAAGGAATAAGGGTTTTAACTGAGGATATCTGCCAGCCGGTTGAAGTTATAGTAAGACACATTTTGGACTTTGTCTCAGCACAAAGCAATGGCCTGAAATTATGAAATGAGATTTTCTATAGATCAATAAGCCAGTTCGGTATTTCAACTGCACACGCGCACAATGATATGGGTCACGTGTCATTCGAGATAATCGTACGCTCATCGAACGCGCAAGGATATGGTCGCACGACGCCCGTGTGTTAATAACAAGCAGAACGGGCGTTCGTGCAACATCGCGTAACATCACATCAGTGATTTTATCCAGAATAACCTGGACTACTTGATCAAGATACGGAACTGGCTTATTGGAGCACATTATCACTGCATTCATTTCACTGAGGCCCCCTTCAATGGCGAATGTATTGTGCCTGCTATTATATAAAGCAAGTGCCCCATGACGGATTATCTGAACAATAGCTAGCACAATGCTTTCACCACTGAAGGTCTCTTTGAGTGCACAGTGGCAGCGTACTTGGATTGGTATATAAATATTTGTAAAATTTGCGATAACATATTCATTGTTCTTAAAATGCAAGTTTTAAAACATGCAGTACTTTATTGATTAAAAAAATATATACTTTATGATATATATTGTGTCAAAATTTGGTCTTTGTTCTCTTTATTCGTGCTAAAATTCATTTCCGGGTGAAGAAATCCTTGATAGTTGTACTTTTTCCTGCGGCTTTATTCGGTGATGTTTTCACAGTCCTTGGCCTTTTGGCGTGCAACGTTCTTTCACTTTGAGGAGAGTGACTGGTCAGTGTCCGTTTCTTCTGTTTCTGTTGCTCTAGTACTTCCCTCTGTATATCCGGGGGTAGCTCTTCAAAAACAGACTGATCAATGCCTGTAAGCTCGATGTGTTGAGAGTCACTAGATGCTTGTGATGTACATGTACATGTTGATCTGGGCTTGGAATTGTCGTGTCGCATGTTCCTCCACTCATTTGTTAATTCTTGTTGCAGTTCAGAAGGTAGTTCTGCAAACACCAAGGGGTCAACGTTTGGAGGTACAACAGCAGGTGCGATGTCAGCGTGTTCAGATGTCAAAGCAAACTGCTCATCATTTGCAGTTTTTTTAGAACTAGCACTGTCAAATGATACTTTCTGGTGCCCCGATGATGTCGAGTATGCAGTTTGTCGACAGTCTCTATCACTTGCCCGTGTGTTGCGATCCACTGTCCCTCTTATCTGTGATGAAGTTGCAGTTTCTGATTTCTGGGCAAAGAACGACTGCCTCTTATGTGGCGAAATGCTAGCATCGCTAACTGCTTGTTCGTTCTCTGTCTTGGTTAATGAAGATGGATGGCCACTCATGGTTACTGTACACTGATTTGTTTCTCTGTTAGAATTTCTGATTCCTCCAATTTTATTATTAGATCCACCTTTAGTTGCCGAGCAACTGCTGGCTTGGGAAGGCAGAAGCCGATCGTTATCACTGCAACCACTCTGATGCAGCTTGTTCTCCAATTTAACATTGGAACTCGATGGAATGACGCTTTCACTCAAATTGTGTAAATTGCCGTCTTCTCTTACGAATGCAGATGGAACATCAGTGGCTGTTAGTGAGCAGGCTTCAGACTTCTCAATGTAACTCTCCTCTGTTACAGTAAAGTTATCATTGTTGGATGTATCGCCATAACACCCTTTCTTTACAGATCTTGGCGAGAAGAATTTGGTGATATCTGAAGTTGTCCTGCTCTGCGATTGAAACTTGGCGAAGCACACACTTATCAGTGTGAGATGAAAGGGCTGGGAGGTGTCCACCATCTTGTGGAAGAGTCCAACACAGAGGTCTAGCAGTTTACTCGCTGTGCCATCTTCATCTGTGGGAAATTGAAAGTTCAAGGAAAAGAATGTCAGGAACCGGTTCCAGATTATGGAATCGAGTACCCGTAACCAACATTACATATTACTTAGTAACTTCTCAGACAATGACAAAGAAAGATTTTGAATGTCATTTGTGGAGAATTTTCAAACTGAAAACCAGTCTACATGGAAAAAATTCATGTTTATGACGCTTGCGGAAATGTAATTTACACGGTAAAGCTTCATATATTGAGCTCACTGTACACATTTGTGTCCTGTATTGAGGCACCGATCATGCGGACCTTTATGAACAATCTATACAGAAACTTCCGAGATTGAAATTTTGGGGTTTCCTTTCTTTCAATCGGGCATCCGATTCCAGTACTACCCGTAAATGGGAACACAATCCGGGTTTTAACCACAAGGTTTCTTGGCATCTTTTGGACAACCCTGTTGATTATTCTTCATGCCCCATTTTGCTTTCTGTTAACATATGTAAAATCATACAACTGTAGCCAGTTGGACACACTTTTTCAATTCCAGGTTAATTCAGACCCCTAATTTCCAACGCTTACTACAGCGTTAAGCTACTTAAATGCCCTTCAATTTGATCTCTTTTCACCACTGAGAGGGTACTTGAGCACCGAGTCCTTTCAGACTTTTAATTTTTTTTTGAATAAATTCCTCGATTCATAAGGGCTAATCTGGCAAACAAAATTAGAAGCCCATGCTTGAAGTGGCACCAGGTTAGCGTTCATGCCGCACGCGTTCTTACGGACGAGGCGCGCATGCATTTTGTTAACACTTTTGGTCCAAGGAGCTCAGAATGCGTGCTTACTACCTGAGCGTGACTCACGCAAGCCTGGTGCCACCTCAGAAAATGGCTGTCGCCGGATTATTCTAAACAAAAAATTGGGATTACGATCTTAGCTGAGACCAAACCCACATTTCTGACCGCACAAGACCATGACCCCTTTAACCCTTACTCCCAAGCATGATTTACTAGGAACCATACCCATCCTGGCAAATTCCAACACCATATGGGAAACTGCACACACATATTTCTGACTTAGTTTCTGGAGGTGTGCCAACCCAATGTAAAAGACAGTCGGTTTAGGGGTACTGTACCCATCCCGACAAATCATGCTGTTGGGGTTTGATGGGTTGAGTTCTGTTAGGGTTAACGGATAGCCAGCATGCGGAAATATGTAGTCAGTGTTTTGAACGAATTGCACCATAATGCACTGCAACAGAGACGCTCATCATTTCACACTATCGATGTAAAACCTCAGTCGATCCATTCATCAATTCAAATCCAATCTACGGCCTACCGGACTGCAAGCTGTGTAGAATCCCATCAGGCATCCCACACTGTCTGCTCTCACGTGTCCATTTATGCACCCTGGAGTATTTCCGCACACTCAGTCTTAATGTATGGGGCTGCCTCCCATCCTTTCTCAATCTACAAAACAAAACAAAATGGAGAGATTAACACTACATTCCTCATAGAGAATCACTCAAATTTGTTGTTACCGCCACAACCAAATCAGAAACAGTTATTATATTCGTATGAATAACTGCATCGACTCTCAGGCTTTCAAATTTCTTGTGATTTAATTTAGTATTAAATTGAATTCGGGACATAAAAGTAATGTGTTTTTTCATCAAATATCCAGGATAAGCTAAAGATTAATTGATCTGTAAAAGGCCCATTGTATGTATTGGGCATTATTATAGCCCTAACATTCCCTAATAGTCCAAAATCCTCTTTGCGAAATGGAGGATTTTGCAGGATTGAGGCTACATGACCAAAGTGTGTGGCTATTTTCGGAGGATGCAGGCCGGACCTTGTGTTGTTTATGCTCAGCCATGCATACATTTAGGTCTATATTACACTTGAAATCCTGCGCACTGCTGCAGGATGTCACTGGCTCTGCCTCAACATATTGACAGTGATTGCAGGAGGATTTTGGAGGATTGAAGTCACCCCTCCAAAGACCACATTCAAGAAATAATGGAGAATTTTGCAGGACTGAGGCTGTACCGGTATGCTATTTTTAAATGGAGGCAGTTGAAGGATTTTCAGGATTAATTACGGTTGCATCCTAGCAAAAGTGCCTAGGGTTAGTTGAATCTTGGTGAAGTAAACTTATTGTTTACAAACAATATTGTTTTTTGTTTACAATTTGATCATTTACAACGATCAAATTGCAGGTGGAATCCTTGGAGGCTGCAACTAATATATCTGATACAATGGGCCTATTATGAGTAAAATTGACAACTTATTCTGCATATTAAATGAGATGACTCCTAAGTTGATATTACCTTTGCAGGAGACTGCAGAGAAGTGCCTTCATCTTGACTTGAGCTTCTTGAAGACTGCTGCACTTCCTAAATGAATCCTCATCACTTATTGACTGGAATCAAAATAGAGAAAGAACAATGATTACTCCGCGGCAAAATATTGCAGTCAGGCAAGATGGCGTCGTTCGGTCACCCCCAACTGTACTTTCTTTGCCGGTGAGGGGGTACTTGTGAACGGAGCGGATAGTAGCATGTGTGATACAAGACTTGTCCAACATGTCCAAAGAAGATAGTTGGGTGAAAAATTATGTTTTAAATTAACTACTTTCTGAAATGTCAAACTGTTCCATATTTTCCCTTCAAGTTGTACTGTTTTTAGATACATGATTGCTCCTCAAATTTAGACAGTTTGAAAAGGCGAGATCCATTTTTAATAATTTCGTTATCTTTTTTCCCCCACTTTTTTTCAGGAGGTGGGGGGGGGGGGGGGGGAGGGGGCAGGAGGAATAACAGTTTATCATCAAAGAATGAACATGTTTAATATATGATGACAGACTACATACCTGTGGGGGACCAGACTGTACAACTGGAGATTCATCATGTCCTTGGCACAACTTCTGCATCGTACATGCTGTCTGGTACCCAAACTCTTCCTTCAGCACCGATAATGGGGCCTCGATCAACTGATCCAATGTGGTGATCCCCATGGATGATAGCTTTTTACCAGTTGAATGGCCGATGCCTGAGAAGGAAACACGTCAAAGTAAATTGATTAAGTAGTAAAGTGAGGCTGGGAGTAATTTCTTAGGTCTTTTTTGATGCACAAAAAGTATCAGTGACGTCAGAAATTTGGTAGTGTGGTGGGCTTGGGTGGTATAGGGAGTAACTGGCAGGGCAGTAACTGGCAGGGCAGTTTGGGTGATGCAGGGGGTGATACAGGGGGTAATATAGGGACTAATAATCCATTTGTCCTTGTACCACCCAAACAGCTCTCCATTTCTTGCTGACAAATTCAAATAAAACCATCTCAGCAGTCAAAGAATTTAATCACACAACTGTTTTTCAAAGATATGATACGCCTAAATGCATGAAGCAGGCTTGACTTGCTGTGAACGTATGCTCACGTAACTTGACACAGCTTTGCCTTGACAGTTGGTGATTGATAAGCCAGCTGTACCTAACAGTGACTTGCGTGTGTGTGTTGATGGAATTTAACTAATCATAGTGCTTACCATTAATGTGATCTAGTTGTTGGTGAGTGGCTGTGTGTAGCTATAAAGGCGTGGCAGGGGAAATAGATTGTATTATTGACTTTCTGTGACTGTTTCAGTAGCTACGAGGGTTCACAGTGTCCTCAACAGGATTAATCCTAATCTTCCCAAATCCTCCAAAATCCTCTTGGCAAAATGGAGGATTTTGCAGGATTGAGGATTTATGGCAAAAATGTGTGGCTGATTTTGGAGGATGCATTGTGCCCAGGTCTAGGGCCGGACCTTGTGTTGTTTATGCTCAGCCGTGCATTAATTTAGGATTAGATTGTACGTGAAATCCTCATCAGCACTACTCCAGGATGTCATTGGCTCTGCCTCAACATATTGACAGTGATTGCTGGAGGATTTTGCAGGATTGAGGCAGTGGTCACCCCTCCAATGACCACACTGAAGCAATAGATTATTTTGGAGGATTGAGGCTATATGCAATTTTTACATGGAGACAGTTGGAGGATTTTGCAGGATTGAGGTTGCATCCTAGCAAAAATACCCAGGGAGTTAGGGTTAACGATGGATATTGTTATACCTGGAACCTGAGTGACTTTAGTCAGGCTTGCCATCAGACTGCCCAGCATGTGAGGGTACAGTGTCGTCTGGTCGTTGGGTTTGTGAGTTGAGCCCACCAGCTTGGCAAGCAACTTGTTGTGGGCGACCCCGGCACAGCTTGTCAGACCCAGCTGGGTCCAGAGGGCTTCGCGCATCTCGTGGGCGATGTGCGAGGCGAGGAGGAGGCGTTGGTGACAACCACAGGTGCAGATTGGCGGAGAGTTGGTTTCTATAGCAACAACTAAAAAAAGGATTTTTTGACAGTGTGTGGTACTGTACAGGTAAGACTAACAGACATGCAACTCATGTACAGTAAGTCATCGAAAATGTATGTAAGTCATCGAAAATCTGGACAAGCTGCATAAGAGTTTCTACAGTGTAGTTTTCAACAGCGGACATTTTCAACAGCAGACATGAGAAGTAAAAATTTAAGAAATGAGCGGATCAGAGAAAACGTTGCACGCCTGCTATAAATGTACATGAGTTCCACGCTTTAACAAACAATATAAATCCTGCAGTTAAAAGATTTTCTCCTAAAATTTTTCTTATATGCCTAAAATTTCCAATGAAAATGTCAGAGCCCAATAACATCACTCTTAAACTCTCTTCCAAAGTGCAACTGTAAAGAGTTTAAAAAGTCACAGATTTATTGATGTCACAAATGTACACATTACTTGTTCATATTTTCTTCGATGGTGATTGTCCTTGAAATCTCGTATATAAAAATCCTATAAATGAGACACAAGATGGCTTACATCAAAAAAATTCTAAGTAAGTCTTATCATTTGTACATACCAGAATTTGTAGCTGTTTCTCCGTACACGTGACCAAAGACTTCTGTTCTTCCTTCTTCTCTTTGCAAGCGTTGAGACACGAGATGGCTCACATCGATGAAATTCTCATCAAATCCTAGCCTCTCCACCAAGGGGCTGAACTGCTGAAGAAGCTCTGTATTAATAACAATAATAATAATTACAATATTGATTTTATGGTACCCATATCCAAACAGGTGCTTAATGTACAGTACATTATTATTACCCGGCTAATTAATCCTGCCAATGAAACATTCCAAAGAACATCTCAGTTCCCTAAAGAGTAAACAGCTATTCACTATAACTTTGGATATCTGTATCTCCTGTGAGGAATGTCAAATAAAGATGATTGTTGTCTAGAATTTAAGCTCTTGACACAAGAAAATTATCTGTTTCGCAAATGAAAAGGCACAATTTGAAATTTTAGCATGAGGCGAAGCAAAATTAAGTAAAATGAACATTTAAAAAATTTGCCCGAAAAGGCCTCACGTGAACTCATTGTGCTCATGAAATACATGTATAAAAATGGATCTCATGGGGAGTTAGATGGGATGTGAATTTACATGAGAGTAGTATCTTCAAAATACATCTAAATGCACACGTTTGTATGAACACAGGTTACACATGTCACACATACATGTATGCATACCAACTTGTACATTTTATTGCTTTTTTTTTACTGCTTTTTTAAGATTACTAATCAGAACCCACCTGTAATTCTGTAGGACATCTCCCTGTAGTGTGTCAGATCTTCCCCATTGACGATGACCAAGTCCGGACATCGCTGTAGAGCATCGGTTATTCTCATCAGTTTGGTCACGCCGCGCGCCCTGGCAACGTAGTTGCAAGTCACTAACAGGTACTTCTGCTGTATCCCTGGAAACAAAAGATATCGATCGTTAATTTCAGAAAGAGTGGTTGTCCTGTGGCTGACCTGAGGAAGATGCAGCAATTCACAAACAGACTTATCCAATCCTTCGTCCAAGCTCTTCCATGCTTTCTTATCTCTGGCCTTCCTCTATTTCTTTTGGCGTTTCTTGGCTGTTAGTCTGTCAAGCTCCTTGTCAATTTGCTGTCATTCCATCTAATCTCCTGGCCTGCCCAACTCCACTTGGTATTTGCTATTTCAGTGAGCAAAACCTTTGCTCCCCATTTGGCTCCAATCTCGAGTCCAGGTACCGAAATGGTAGCATTTGCTTTAACGTGCATTTAAAATGCCAGGAAAGACATTGTGGGTGAAGTATCATTCGGCAAGATACAAAATGCACTTGCTTCACTTCATCATGAGGTTTGAAAGGGGCATTGCAGTGTATGCCTAGGGAATTGAAGTTTCAGGAGTGAGTGTGTCAAACGTTAAAATATTAAACAATCAAAACACACAACTGGTGAACAGCCATATTTATTTAACTGATTAACAGCAAAGTCTCAAGGCTTCTCTGCTGAAGAGATCCTTTGAAGATGAAATGCTTGAATGACAGATTATTTCAAATATCAATATACTTTATGTTTCACTCACAACTGTGAGACCTCAAAATATGCAGGTTAAAAATGTCAAGGTCTCATTGGGGAAATTTCGAAGACTTTTGTCTGAGCTAAAGAGCAAAATACGTTGGCTCGGTTTTGCTCAAGCTGTCCTGAGAAACTTACCGAGTGGCTTGGTTCGAAGGGCTGGGTTTCTGACCATTTCAACCTGTGCATAATAGCAGTCAAGGTCGATGTGGATTATTGTACGGGTGTGGCTCATCACTTTCAAGTCTAGACTGCCACTGGATGATGCCACCGCTGCATGAAAAAAAAACAGGAATACAGAATCATTTTCACTACATCACCTCTTCAACACGCGATGAGGCAGCACAACATGGCAGCACGATGCAACGCGACAGCACGGCACGACGTGATGGCATGATGCAATGCGACAGCACGGCACGACATGGCGAAAAGTGATGACGCGGTGCAACGTGATGGCAGGGCACAATGCAACGGCACGATGCGACGGCACAATGGGACAGCACGAAGGGATGGCACAATGGGACAACATGAACGATGGGACGGCACGACGTGACGGCACGACACAACGTGATGGCATGAAGCGACAAGACGGCAGGATGGCTCTATGGTCATTGCCTCCACTTTCCCTTCTCTACCATGTCTACTCTCACCCTCTCCTTTCCTTTATTCCTTTTTATTAATCAGTCACTTACTTCATCGCGTTGTTCGGGAGGGGCAGAGAACTGCTCATACTATACATGCACAAACAACGCACACTACATTCAATGGTGTTGTTTTACAGGTTGAACGTACACTCAGTAAGGGTTACTTACATGTAGTCAACCACTACATCGACGGTTGCTCAGTCGACTGCAAAAATGCATGTGCCTGTGCAGCCACCCGGCCATGAATGCGAACATAACATGCATAAGGAAACATGTATGCAGTGCTATACTGGACAATGGTACTGCGTGTGCCCATCCTGCATGTCCTGTGTCCATTGTTGCGTCATATTGAGCATGCGCACTTTAGCAAACATGACGTAAAAGGAAGACAGTGCGTGGTGGTCTGACCGTCTGGGCTGTGTACTGCCACGTTTACCTCAGAAAATGCTGCTTTTTAAAACTTTTTTGAGAACCACTCTTCCGAACAACTTCAAACTTGGCACTGCACTAGTCCCACTAACTGGGTCGCAAGAACTCCTTTTTTGACATTTGGGATGTTGCTGTCGTACTAGCGACCCATTAAGGAACTATTGTCAATGTAATAATTTCAAAAAATCACGCAAAATACTTAACAAAACTACCTTTGAAAGCACCTACTGGCTTCTCCACATGTCAAAGATAAAGTAATCGGGCTTCAATGTTACTCACGATTATTTTTTGGGCTGCAAATCCGTGAATTTCAACCACTATGGCACAGACATCATACAGCGATCATTGATGGCTTTGATCTATCAACCCATTTCTACATGCACGCCACCATGGACATTTTTATACAGTATGTAAACACGACCATGACCTGCGTCGGTAAACAAACTCCACATGTAGATCGGGGATGCACCTACGACTGTTTCATGACAAGGCAGTCACTGCACTGTACATGTATCATGTGGCGTGGCACGCATGCACGACGATTAGACAATGGCTACGTACATGTTATGTACTTGTCATGAAACAGTCGTACATGTAGGTGCATCCCCCGATCTACATGCGGAGTTTGCACATTCTGTTGTCCCGAGCAATACACCCAACGATTTTCAACTTCATTCGGTGCCCTGTTCTGGAAATAATCGAAATACAGACAGACACACAGACACACAGAGATTTCTGGAAATAGTTAGGCCTGTCAAGCGCAATGTGAGTCCCCCACGCAAGTTTAAACTTGCGCGCACAAGTTTAAACTTGCGAGTCCCGAAGCACGCAAATTACACTGTGCCATTTTAATTTGCGTGCGCAAGTTTAAACTTGCGCAAAGGCGATCGCAACCTCTTTGCCGCTGTGATTTTCATTGATGAAGAAAATTTTATTCAAAACACGAGTACATGGAGAAATAATGCAATAAATAAATGAACAAAGAAATAAATAAAAAGGGGAATTCAAATTACCGTCAATGAAAAGAAACATTGAGATTTAGCAGTGCTTATCAGAGAAGTTGTTTAAGGGTACGTCGGGGAGGGGCCGGGGAGGGGACCGGGCAAGTAATCAACTAGTTAAGCACACTAGCGGCGATTGCTTGGAAAGTGTACTGAAGTTGTTCAATAATGGAGACCAGCTTCAAGTTTTTTGCTTTGTAAACCTAATTAGCATTTTATTTATATTCTTGAATGTAAATAAATCATAATTTCCTAGGTGTAACCCGCTGTTAAAAAAGAAAGATTATGATCCCTTCCATTGTTCAAAGTTTTGACATTGTAGTAATCATTTACATTATTTTTAAAATGCTTTAAATTACATTACATGTATTCTACAATTAAAAAAGTACTTAAAAAAAATACTATTTAATTCAATAATTAATAAATTGGACGGTGCAATAATTCATGTTTTTAGACTTGCATAACATTTCGAGTACTGTGTAGCCTACACTTCAAAAATGCATAATTTGAAAACAAAATTAATGAACGCATTACTAATTTAATTAATTAGGCCCCTAATTAAATTTATTACTTAAACAATTATTTTATTGCAGGCTCAATAATTCATATTAATGTTTACAACTTAGAAACACTATGCATATAAAATGGTAAATATTTTAAAAAAGTAAATAAATTTGCAAATGATTTAATTAATGAATTTAATTTATTGATTTAATTAATTACTTCGACTTAATGAACAAATATGTTGTTTATTAAAAAAAATCCTAATGAGCCATAAACAATGATACACATCATGATGCAAAGTGCATAAATTGCTCGCATTACCATGATTACCACTCCTTATCTCTCCAATTTCCACACAGTCAACATCATTAGCATATTAATCAAATGTTTCAAAAAAAGGCATGAAGGCATTGTCTCCCGCAGCTCAGTGATGCTATTAAATCGGAGAAAAAATCTGCTTTATAATGTTACATATCTGCATGATTAACCCGGGAAAAAAATAGTTTAGCAGCTTCCTTCCTCCATGGTAGGCCTATGCATGGCCGGGAAAATTTATGCAGTGCGCAAGTTTAAACTTGCGTGCGCAATTTGTAGCAAGGAAATTAATGCGCGCACAAGTTTAAACTTGGGGAGTGGATATTTTGCCGGAGACGGCAAACCTTTAGTAAACGTTAGTTTGCCGGATATGCACTGAACATGCGCAGTTACTGTTTGTTTGTACTTAATAACATTTTCCGGTCATGCCGGTGACAAATTTGAGTCTGGCTCCATGCCAATATTATCGTTGTAACCTCGTATTCACAAGATGGGATTCAGACCATTTTATAATTTCGGACTTTATTTCCCTTTAAAAAAAAATCCTCCAGAGCCACAAATCTGAAAAGAAAATGTAATACTCTGCAATAAAATGTTTGAGACATGTTAAAATAATAAAAGAAGAATATTCTTATTTATTTGGGGATGGGAAAAAAAAACTTTAAAATGTGGCGGGGAACGGGATCGAACCCGAGGCATCCCGCTCACTAATGCCTTTGCTTAACCACTACACCAACATGACCAAACGTGCTACACAATATCTTATAATTCATGCAGCCCTATCTTAAAGAGTACATCGCCCTCTGTTGATTTGGATTGCCGCCAGCAAACCTTTAGTAAGCGTTAGTTTGCCATCATTACCTCTGGCAAAATATCCACTATCTTAAACTTGCGTGCGCGCAGGTTTAAACTTGCGCAGGGGACTCAAATTGCGCTTTGACAGGCCTAGACTAGTAAATGAATAATCTGATTCTGATGATCTGTTTCTGTTTCTGTTCCATAAACGTACAAACACCTAGAAGGTTGTCGACGTACGTTGGTCAGGGTCAGGTGTGCAGCAACTAAATTCTTGATTGGGTTTTGGAAGCCAGGTCTTGAATGTTGATGTTGTCCAGTGCTAGTTTGAAAGTCTTAATGTCACTGTCAAGTGTCAGGCATGTCAGGTGAAGAGCGGATGATCATAATTCATAGCAAGGACATGGAGGAATAAGTTACTGACCATGTTGACCTGATGGGTTCGATGTTCTAAACGAATCATCAGAGTATGTAGGTTTTGACCAATCCTCATCTTCCACTTCATCCATCATGATAAATGTCTTTTTTTGAGACACTTTTGGAGGCTTTTTATTGTCGCGCAAAAGGAAATATTGCAGTACACGCACACTGCAGCAATTAATTAATGGCGCCCTCATTTGGTCACAAACCATAGCCATTCCCCTCCGGCCATACGAATGGCTTGTCACTGTCAGAACTATAATGTGGGCGCGTGTTGACGACGTAGCCGTAGCTCCGAAATCTAAAGCAACCGCGGACGGTCAGATTCTTTTTTAATTTTTCTAGCACTGGAGGGCGCGCTAATGCAAAACATCGCACACGCCACGTGCCGTTCGATCTAGACCACGGACATGTCTGACTTCGCGCTCGCAGGTGCAATTTGTGAGCTGATTTAACAACAGAACACTGCAAGTGCCGTTCGAAAGGATTTTTTCTTTTTTCAAGCATTGAATTTTAGGAAGGTAAAGTGTAGTCATGGTAGTGAGTGTTTGTTGTTGGGATTTCCATCATCATTGTTGGGATTTCCATCATCACTAACACTACACTAGCATGACTAGTCTATACTATACTAGTCCCTTATTCCCCTAAACTAAGTTTAGTCTGGTTCCCAGACCAAAAGATTCCGACTACATTGTATTCCTGAATCTAAGGTCAAGTAGCCTCCGGTAATACAATGTATTACAATTTACGTCACGTGACTAAAACGGGAGGAATTCCTCCTTTTTCCGAAAATGTCCGAAGTTTGCCGAAGTCGTTTCGTCGACAATCGGATAGCGCCCGAGTATTTCCGAATATATAATATAGGTTTAATTAACTGCTAATTGCTTATTAATTTTATTTTCAATGAGTTGATAATTAATATTCATTGTTTTCATTTAGAAAACTTGAAATTCAACGACGATTTTATGCATCAAATATACTCGGATCGTACGGGCGAACTTTTTGCTGCGTCATGTACATTTTTGAATTTGACGACCGTTACCGAGATTTTCCAAAACTCGGTCTTCATGTCTTCATTCGGCTCCGCCTGCTAACAGTGCTATTTGGTTCCCTAATTTTGAAGATTCCAGATCAACATTACTCAATGTTATCTTACAAAAACATCAAACTGTATTACTATTATCATAACTGTATGATATTACGAAGCAAGTGATTTATTTGAAGATTTGATCAGAACATTAAAAGCTGCAAGTGATAAAGCGAAATCGGAAACGAAGCCGCGCTTTAAAAAAGGGCCATTAATGTTGTCATGTTTATTTTTAGCCACGGAGGCTGCCTGACCTACAATTTAAGGCCAAGTTCACGTAAGGACTATAGTTCACCAATGGTTAACTAACGTTTGCCCGAACTCTGTCTAGTCGACGGAGGTTGACTACGCTAGTCGACTATTTGGAACCAGCCAACTGGGGTTGGTTGCTTCGCTGGTAACCAATAGCCGCGCGCATTCATAACGCAAGCAGAGAGCCAGGATCCAGAAGTTTTGCGATGACATTTTGACCAGCGTTTGACTAGAGACATTCGCATGTTGCTATTAGTGCGCAGGCGTAAGGTACGTCACAAATCAACCGCTAGTCGACTAATGGTCCTTGCCCGAACTTGGCCTAAGACGTGAGCGTCGGGAATAATTGTCAGGTCTGGGAACCAGACTAAACTAAGTTCGAATGTGTAGCTGATCATGCTGATGGGTCTCTCCGAACCTGCCAACTCTCCATTTTTTGCCGATGAGGGGGTACTTGTGCACGGAGCCAAAGCCTAGCAAGTGAAATTATTATGACATCTCACCCTCACCGTATCTTAATTGTCACATAGCATTTGCTATTGTTGCCATCTTGCTGTGCACGGACCATGCGGACAAAAGTGCACGGCCAATAGTTATGTCTACTTTCTCCATGCTAATCCATACTAGCTCTACTGAGTGGAGCGTTGAACTATGGTACCCTCCGTTCTAACGCTCCACTGATTCAGCATACTTTGGTGACATGTACACGGTATGCATTTTGTGCATACCATCGCCAAGACAAAAGGTCCCAAAAAAACTGGTAAAGTGAATACAAATGAGAAAGACAATGTAACCCTGGATAGATCCACACATTCATGACATTCCATAAGACCCTTTAAAGCTATAGTCCATCATTTGCAGCCATCCGAAAAGTAACTGGCGTAATTAGTGTTGAAAAACAAACTTGGTTGAAAGATAGTAAGGGAACTAAACTTCCTGTGAAATTATTCTTTCTGGGAAGCTGTCATTTTGAAGTAATCAACGAAAGAAGGCATTTCCAACAGTGATTCTTAAGAAGCACCGTAGGAAAATTTAAATTAGTAGTTCGTTTTGTTATTCGGCGCAGTGCGCACAAGTATTGGAACGACGCACACGCGCGCGCGGTTGTTATAATTCGTCGGATCAGTGCGCTACATCGCGTATAGCTGCAATTCAAAACAATTCAAAACATGATTCAGTAACTTTTGATTTGAAATTGAGATCTTAGAATGCTGTTTTTCTCGGAATGTACAGCTGAAGCTTAGCTGAAACTTCATCAGGTTAGTTGCTCAGTATCCTTCATTAGATTTTGAACACTTTTGTTGCTTCAAACGAACAAAATGCACAAATTACAAACATGACAAATGATGGACTATAGCTTTAAATTGTTCCAAACAACCGGTAATTTTGAAAAAAGAACAAAATAGTCTGAACTTACCGCTCACAATTAAATGTGTCTGCCGAGTTGCACAGTCAGACAGTCCATTTCACTGACATGACTGATACATCGGTCATCGCGCGCGTGTGTAACGTCACTATTAAAGAAAAACAACGGACTGTTAATGTACATGTTATGTAGTCATATGTGCCCCGCACCGTCTGTCAGTGTGGGTTTTTGGCACAGGGCACATGTCTGTACTTGAAACAGTCATTGATCTATGCGCGACTTGTTTTTCTTCAATAGTGACGTCACACAGGTGCGTGATTACCGATGTATCAGATATGTCGGTGAACTGGACTGTGCAACTCGGCAGACACATTTCATTGTGAGCGGTAAGTTCAGACTATTTTGTTCTTTTTTCAAAATTACTGGTTGTCTGGAACAATTTGAGGGGTCTTATGGAATGTCATGAATGTGTGGATCTATCCAGGGTTACTGTCTTTCTCATTTGTATTCTCTTTACCAGTTTTTTGGGGCCTTTTGTCCTCCCGAGAGTATGCACAAAATGCATACTGTGTACATGTCACCAAAGTATGCCAAATTGGGAGAGCATTAGAATGGAGGGTACTGTACGTAGTTCAACGCTTCACTCAGCAGAGCTATATATACATAGCAACCAAAGTAGGCTACTATCTGTTCTCTGCAGCAACCAAAATTATGCAAATGAGGGCATATATTCCCAAGCGTTTGCGCTACAAAGGTGCAGGTTCAAACATTTCTTGAACTTGAGGGAGAGTTTGGAAAAGTACTAGTAATTTTCAACTAACAGTTAAATGGCAAGGGAAAGATTTATCTTGTGGTAAACTAGCCCCACTTGTGTGCAGGCCTCAGTATTGCTGCGCTCTACGTTAGGCCACACGTCTGGTTTGCCAACCTACTGAGGAGTTTCGTCCAAACACTGGCGCACCTTTTTTGGCAGTTATTTTTACATACCACTGTATATTGTATTCTATGATTTCTCATCTTTTGCCCTCCGGGTAGATTATGTAATATTTCTTCAAATTTTTTGAGAATTTTAGCATCTTTCTGGAGTCTATATGCACCAGTGTTTGGCCTAAACTCCTCAGTGGGTTGGGAAACCAGTCGTGTGGCCTAATGTACAGTGCAGCAATACAAACATGTACATTTGTACGGAGGCCACACAAGTGGGGCTAGTGGTAAACTAGCCTCCCTTGGTGATCCAAGGAGCATTCTATTTTCACGAGGTGAATAGAATAGAATAGTACACCACTCAAAGTAGTCAATATTATTTATTTATTTATTTTTTATCCACACCCAACAGCAGAAAAACCACCAATTATAGGACTGGGTTAAACATATTATGAAATTATTTAAAAACAACAAATATGTTCAAAAAGAATCATTATAAAAAATATTATATTTGTACACATGTATGTACACTGACATGACTGACATGATCAAAGCATGCCTTTTTATAGCTCCATGCTTAAAGTTTTGTGTTCACAGATTGAAAACCCTCCCAAAACTGTTCTTTTAGTCTTGTTCCCTGACCCTACTTCAGATGAAACAGAGCAGTTTATACTATCTATAGTCATCCGGGAATTGTCAGGTCAGGGAACCAGACTAGCTGATTTGCACCTGTTCATGGATGAGTAACCAATTGCAAACAGAATGTGGACTAACTAAATGTGGTAAATTGAGGGCAGTATTTGCAAAAAGTCAGTTTTTTCCAACGATGGTTGGCCGACCATCGTTGGAAATTGATACAAAAATTCTACTTTTTTTGAGAATGACATCACACCAGGTGCCATGATTTCACAGGATGCTCAAGTCTATTAGTCACTCAATTAAACACAAGTTAGGTATTTCATAATGGGTCAGGCCGCAAATAATTATAAAGTGTAATTAAGGCCGAAAAAAAAAAAATATCGGACTCTCTGGTCAGACCAAAGTTCCAAAATTGACGCGGCGATGCAGCTTTTTTTTCTTCTTTTTTTGGCTTTTTTTTTTTCTTCAAGCTTGGATTGTACAGACAAGGTGGGGTACTATTTTGCTTTTTTGGTGTCCTCGTGTACATTGGTGTCCTCCATAATTTGCCTTGGTGCTTTCGATCATTTGCCTTGGTGCTCTTTGGTAAACAAAATTGAGGAGGTGCGGCAATAGAGGGCGCTGTTGGAGCTACCGCAGAACATTTTGGAGAAAAAAAAAGGATTGAAGCGCATGATTAAAATCGACGCGTCCACTGACCAGAGTCCGACTTATTTTTTTTTTGGCCTAAAACATTGACTAATTATTTTCATATGTTTCATTCAAAAGTGAATAACATTCAAAAGTGTATAACAATTTATAACTGCTAGAAAATAGCAATTGCAAATAATCTATTTTCAGGGTAAAACCAAAAAAGCCTGGACAGTACAAATTCAGATAATTTCAACCTTTTTTTGTTTTACGTGCAGTCAAACATCATGGCTTTGTCCATACATCTCAAGAAGCTTTCAGTGTTTGCAACAACACTCTATTCACATGCTGGCAAAACTGTGCATGGATCCTGTGCGCTGTTCTCCAATCACAAGCAGTTGCCGACATTGACCCTGTTTACTAAGGTAGGTGTTTTTGACATGGTTAACAAGTGCATTAACACTCTCCTTCCCCCTCCTTCAAGAATAAAAAGTCAACTTCCGTCCCGAAGGTCCTTCTCAGAGTTTCTTTTCCCCCAACCCCTGTTCCCCTCCCCCCCCCCCACAAAAAACCCTGCACCCCTACACCCCTGCTCCCCACCCCCCCCCCCCCCTCCCTCCCACAACACCAATTTCCCCCGAAATTCCCATATTTTTATATGCACAAGTTTTAATATCTCCAACGTCTTGGGTCTACACATCTCTCCACCACGTGGAATATTGCATATGGGCCTGTCGCAAGTCAATTCAGTAAATTCATTCAAAGGAACTACAAAAACTTTTCCTGTGTCACTGCACTGTTCAACCATGCTGGCTGATGATTTGACTTGTGACGTACTTGTGATTTATCTTGTAAGTGGTGACCGACACGAACTTCAATAATATTGGTAAAACTTTTTCGTGACTATGTATCTGTGTCTTTTAATCCAAAGGACAATTGTTCACTCTGTGATGATGCGAAAGAGGTTTTACGGAAATATGGCGACAGGGTAAGATGGGTTTTCTTTATAGAATTTTATTCAAGTGCTGATTTTGTATTGTCTACACCCAAACTATAGAGCATCGATCCCCACTAGAGTTGAGATGGTCCCAACTACTAAAAGTTGAGACGACCCCAACATTGAGTTGGAATGATAGTTGGGATCATTCCAACTTTAGTTTCTAAAGTTGGAATTGACCCAACTGGGACGATACTTTGTATAGAGGGGGTTAAACACAATCATCCATCCATTCATTCTCTTTCAATCTTTCATGTTATAATCTGCACATTACAAATAATCTTTAGTGCTGTCCTAAATATATTAAATACCCAATCATCAGCCAAACATTCTAGTAGGTTTTTGCCAGCTTGAATATTTAAAAAAAACAACATTCACACAACTGTGTTGTTATTCTATTGTAAAGTTAATTATGCGCTTTTTGTCAAGTGCCATTTTTTTAGTCAGTGACGCTCTCTTCGTACATCTTTTTTTTACCAGCGCAGCACGCAGTTACAGGAGGCAGCTGCGAATATCCAAATATTCGGTCAAACATATTTTCGAGTATTCGAATACTAAATTAATCGAAAATGGACGGCCCTAATAATCTGAATACATGCACCTGTTCTCCAACTGTACACTGTTCTTTTCACATCGTGGCAATTTTACCATTTTGGAAAACAAAGTGCAGATGTTTTCATAAAGTCACAGAGCATATCAAACATTTGGTTGGAACTTTGGACATCATTACAAACTATGTATAATGCTTTGCTTTCCATGTACAATGTACATGTATTTGTACATGTTTCACATGGTCAAAGTAACTGTGAATGTATAAATCCTGCATTGTGAGCCTTACACAGACATGTACTACATGTATGTACATATACATGTATGTAGTTTGTATCTTAAACCCATGCCTTGATCACTTTGTCATTCTCATAGTTAACTGTTTTGTCTGCCAAGCTGAAACTGTCCTCTTTCACGATTTTTAGCTTAAAACGAATCATTGAACAAAAAAGATTCACATTTTTTAATTTTGGGAAGTGCATGCATATACATAAAGAGAATAATAGTTCCCACGCTTCTCACTCGATAGATTCTGCAAAATCATGTAATTTCCATCGTTGGCCTAAACATCCATAAGTCTGTGACAATAGTTTTATAAACAGGAAGAAACAATGACAGAGCCTTAGCAACTAATGACGAACCACTGCCCACTTCCATGACATTACAGGTTATCTGATCATTGTTTCTCACTTTTGAAACCATTTTGAAACCTCAGTTGACAGGAACAGGAAGTAGACTCTGACAGATACATGTAATAGAGCATCGTCCACTGAAAATCAGTGGCAGAACATAGGGCGACGGGGTTCCCCCCCCCCCCTTCCCTCCTAATCAAGGCATGTTCCAAGTCCCCCCCCCCCCCACCCCAATCAAAATTTGTGAAGGGCAAACTTTAACTTCTAATTTGTAAAAACCCATCACTTGAACTGCCTGCCCCTCCTCCAGAAAATGATGTCCTCCAAATGTGGGACCCCAATTACATACATTGCTGAAAGTGTGTACAGTTTGATCAGTCTCACTGTGCCATGTTCCCTTAAAGAACAGCCCTCTGCTTTAAATAAATTTTAAGTTCCAAATTCCGTTCTAACTGAATTTTGGCATTAGCACATGTTTGGCGGTGCTTAATTGCACAGGAAGTCAGTGTAGACCATACATATTCCATGTACTGTAGTGTCGTAGTATCGCCTACACATGAATTCCAAAGCTTCCTGAACTGTTAAAGGTACATGTACATGTAGATCACAATCAGTTCTATCCCAAAATGGATACTTAAGACTTTCCTTTTTCTGTAGTGTGAATATTTCTAGGAGGGAATTTTCATACAGAAAACAGAAACTTTCTTTTTTTTATCATTTGGTTACATTTAAGCAACATGGTAGTAAATGCTTGACTGTGTTGTGATGAACATTGAAGGCTGGGGGTGGGGGGAACATATTTTTACTGGTGATTCATCTTTGGTGGGAATTCCCCCTCTGAGAAATGCAGTATTCAATGAGCAATTTCCCATGATGTCACTTGTTGTCAAATGTAGGCCTACCCTATATAAGTGACTTGCTAAAAACATGAAGAAGGAGCAAATCAAAAAGCCATATCAAAGAATTTTACAAACTGTTCATCGATCAGTGTACTTGTGACAGCAGGCAGTTCTTGTGTGTCATTTTGAGGGAAAGTTGGTAAGTTCATTGATTAGTTTCAAATAGGATAGGAATGATGGTTACGTTGTTTTGCTTTGAATTTTTGGTGAAACTTTTGGTGTGCGTATTGAGTACCCTGTGCTTTAGTTGCTTACAGAATTATTTTTGTCAAAAAGCTGTACCGGTTGTCAGTACGAAGTTGTTCAGTGCTATTCGAAAAATCAAGTCATAACTGTTTCAAATACTGTCTGTCACTGCCTCCATGAACAATATTCTTGTATCGATGCAAAGATAACTGATTGTTTTCATATGAGCTCATCTGTCCTCGGGTTTGCTTCATGTGAAAAGGATTTGTTCATTCAGAAAAATGAAGGGGGTTATTTTGCCTGTACTTGTAGTCTTGTAAATTTACTCCTACATGTACATGTACATAGTATGTATTTATAACTTTCCATACAATTCTATTTACATCCTGCCTCATGGAATCGAGAAAAATAATCCTATATTTTTTTTCTGGAGTTGTATCGTCACTGTATCATTCCAAAATTGTTACAAATCTTACTTGAATCATGATTTCAAACATTTACAGTTTGTCTTGGAGGAAGTCTACATCACCAAGCCTGAAAACAGGGCATACTTCAAGAGGTATCGCTACGACATCCCGGTCTTCCACTTCAACGGGGAGTTTCTGATGAAACATCGTGTTGACGAAGAGCTGTTCAAGAAGGTCCTTGCAGAGTACGAGCAGAGCGCTGTTGACTGAACAACACGGGCAGGTGATTGCAAGACTCTACTATCAACTACCACCAGCTGACCAGTGACAGTTTGCAACCATTCCAAAACCTTCATCATCACTTTCACTCACCAAAATTCTTCCGCAACGCAGAAACTTTTCACCTGACTAAATAACATGTGGTCTCAACATGCCAGGAAAATTGGAAGCATGCTGTCAACTGCTGGGCCAAGAACCGTTCTTGTGCAGCAATCTTCTATCAGACAGCAGCTGTCAGCTTTTGGCAGTTGGAGACAAGAGTTGACACGTCTGTCTAATCCAAAATGCCATTTGAGCTTAGCACCAAATTTACTCAGTCAGCAACTTTGCCGGTTCACCGAGTGTAGTATTTTACGGGTGGGTCACAAAGTTAAGAATGGTAAGCAGGTACCTGTGTGCTTAGGGCAGCAAGACCATGCATTCCAACAACCAGGCTGTATGTATGCATCCAGTAGTAAAAAGCAAGTCATTAGTGTTTACACAGATGCCAGCCGTTTTGGCATCGGCTGTGTGTGGGGTAAAAAATGGGTAAAGGGTCAGTGGACCGAAGAATGCCTCAAAGAATACAAGCCCAAGCCTGACTTTTGTGAAACTTACGCCATTTTGTGTAGCATCGAAGCATTTGGGCCAGACTGGGCTGGCTGCTGCATTCAATTTTTCTGCGATCACCGCGAAGTAGTATTGAGTTTCAATACAAAGAGCAACTGCGGAAACCAAAACACCAAACCTTTGTTTGACGAGATTAAATCAAGGGCGCTGAGCTTTGAGATAGATTTGGATTTGAAGTTGTTATGTGGGAAGGATAAAAAGTGTGTCCCGCTTCACCGGGCTGCTGATGCATTGTCCAGGGGTCAGATGCTCAAGTTTAGGAAGTACCACCCTGATGCGGATGCCATGGCAACAAAGCTGCCATCTCATCTTAGTATGATTAAACATGACCCAAATTAAATTCTGGTACATACTTGTAGCAGCTTGAGAGGAATACAAGTTGGCATACGGTTGTAAGACAGTGGTGAATCAGGGGGTATTGCAGAAGTAATGACTGGGATGTTCCAAGATTTGTTCGGAGGGGGGCGGGGGGTCGCAGTCAATGCATGAAAGTCCAAAGGGCCTAAAGCAACTGATCAAGAGGTGTAATGGTGACATTACTCTAGAAACGTGATAATATTTTTTAATTCTTTGCTATTTCATAAATCATTTATATTGGTCAGTGAGAGGGTTAGGGGTGTTTAGCCACCGTCACGACAATCAGCTGCCTTGTATCAAATGTGTGTAAGAATTAGGCCAGTTTACTTAAGTATAGATATGTTAAGGTCAGTTTTAAATGTTTTTTTTACAGCCAAAACGTCATGTAAACTAGTGGTTGGGTTGATTTACATGCATGGTTGTTAAAAACAAGTATGAAACATTTTTTCGTTTGTACAGAAATTATCCCTACAATTTAAAATATATGTCAACTGGTGGAATATTTTATTTTTGGGAATATTTTTAAGAACTGTGTAATGTGTTTTATTATTTCTTCAGTTAACTGTGTACTGTAAGTCCATGTAGTTTGGCTATATGATCACAAATATTCTTAAGTTCAGAAAGGTAAATTTTACGAAGGAAAAAAATAACTTTGCCAAAAAAGTGTTTGGATTGTTTTAAATTTCAAGAACTTTAACAACTCCTATTAATTGTAGTACATATCATTTCTAATCATAGTATAAATGTGAATTATATTAGCATGCACATGTATTAAAGAGAAAACAAACAATGTAATTGGTTGAATTTTCATAAATGAAATGACTTTTGACTACAGGTAATGAGATTACCTATTGTAAACGTTTAAAAATATATTTCAAAAAATTAATTGATACAAAATTCTAGGAATGCCTGATTGCAACTGATAATCATTCAAATGGTTCATCATTCTATGATTTAGAGAAATACATTAAGAGCCTAAACGATGTCCAGTAGCGCATCCAAACGGTGGAGGGGGCAGCCTTACCTGTTAAAGTTCAACTCACTGGTTTTTAATTTACTCTTTCTGAGAAAATAGTGGAAACCATGCACAACCTTTCGATCACGAAATACGATTTCGTCTATAAACTAATATTTCCAAAAAATCTGTCAATTGACCGATTGTTGGAAATCACCTACATTTTTTGATTTCATTTAAATGACAGTAAGCCATATGGAACAATTTCATGGGGTGTTTAGTGCCAGTACGATCTTAAATACAAGTAAAGTTTTTGAATGTAACTTTTTGAATAAATGCAATGATGATCCTATGTGTCTTTCAGCATATACTTCAAATACATTTTCTCTTAAGCTGCAGTTTTGACCAGATATAGTGGTTATCTATCTATAATCCCGGCCAAAATGGTGGGGACACTTCCTTAGCCTCCCACGGTCACCCACTCCCCCGCTCCCTCGGTCAATGTGCTGATGGAGCACACCGTGTCAAGAAAGACAACACTCAGCGGTAGCCAGGGGGTTGGGGCCAAGCAAAAATTGGCCAGGATTGTAGCTTTCATTGAGCGGAGCCATCGCCTAAGGTACAGTACTTGTCTTTAAAACAAATCTTCGGTGTATTGCTCGTAAACCCCAAGTGCCAACATGACGGTCCAGCCTAGTAGCAACCCGATGTTATGTCTCAAGAAGACCCTCCAGGGGTTTCGCTCAGCCTCTTCCGCTTGTTGGTTCATCTCCGGAACCTGTGGAATCAGAGGATGTAAACACAAGGAAGTTGTCAAGATGTGCACCCTTAAGGAAATAATACATTAATGTGGTTGCCTGAGCTGTTCGGAGGCCTTTGAACGGGTCCTCAAAATATATGTTTTAACTTAAGCCCTTGGAATGCATTTGTAAGTGGCAAAGTTACAATCACCTCCTTCCTTTTCCCAGCGTACTGCTGCAGCATTACGGAAACAAACGTCCTACAACTTGTCAAAACCAAAGCCTATCCAACCCAAGCTAACAAATGCTGCCTGAAGTGCTTCCGGCAGGCTGCAGGTTATTATTATTATTATTACTCTAGTTCATTAAACATTGTGTTTGTAGCCTCAATTGTCACAATGCGTACAAATTAAAAACACAAAATCAGAAATACAAATTTACTAAATCATTTACCATCATACATACAAATATCAGAATACAGTTCATGAAAAGAATGACTAAGTTTTGAACATCGGAATATAAGAAAAGCGCATGCACTCTACCAGAATAGTACATGATAAAAAGGGGGTTTGGGTTTTTTTTTTTTTTTTAAAGAATGCAGTACATGAATAAAATAGGATTTTGTATTATTGTAGGTTGTCTAGCTTGCGAGCTTCATGCCTCCCCGGCTGACTCGGCGTGGCCGGTCAAAGAAGACTGCCCAAGTTCCCAGTATATACCAAACGCTGTGGGTTTCTGGCTTGTTACACGATTTATTGGATATAATGACCACGCATGCTTCACGCTAGCTAGGCTGGGTTAGCTTGATGGCGGTTGTTGCTGGTGGAAAGATTTGCTGCTTCCCGGAAGGGCGTGGGATTGGATGTAGCAGCTGCCTGGCATTGCAAGCATCTATTTGGATTGGACTCGGATAGATAAACGGGACAGATGAAGTCATTCTCGCCAAAAATGGACCCCTGTTGTAAAACTTGCTTCTCATTACTAGCTAACTATGAATTTTTTTATTGGAACAAAATCACAGTTTTTCATACCAGGCTGACTAAAGCTATATAGAGGAACATTCCAGCGGTAGCGGCGAATATCCACCTCTGGATGACATTCTCGCTGCCCAGGAGGAGCCCGGCATAGAGCCCGGCAAAGCCTATCATGTTACTGATCAGGCTACACAGCATGGCCTTCCTGAATGAAACACCGCTCCGAAGCAACACAGCAAAATCACCTGAAATTAAGTGGTCGATGTGAACAAAGGTTCTGACACAACTGGCCTATAATGTCACTTTGGGCCCATATCTGCTGCATTAATTAAAGATGAATTCCCTGTGCTGTTTTTGTGTTTCACCTCAACAACAAAATAGATTAATGCTATTTTCCTAGCAATATAAAAGTTATTCACTTTTGAAGGGAAATGAGACATGGAACGAAAAAAAATCCACCTCTTCACGAAATTCCAGCTGTCCGACAATAATTCGGCTTTCGCAGGACGGGTTCATATTATGAAAGCCATTTTCGGAGGGGTTCAGATGCCCAAAATTGGAATAAATTTTGAAGAGCACGGGGTATATGCAAGTTTAGCCTTACAGTCCTCATATACAATCCTCTAATTTCAATATAGTTTTTTTTTTCACACACCCTAGAGTTTATACGTCCCTATACACATAATAGTTTAAATTTGACAAGGAAACAGTCCGACTAGCCCCTATATGTCGTCGGAGTGGGTGCTCGTGTGTTGTTTTCTAGTCAAATCTGATTTAGGTGTTTTTATAGTGCAACCCATGATCCCATGGTGAACACAGACCGGGACGTCAACTATACAGCAGATTCTACTTCAGCTATTTATGTTCCACACCTTAGAATTAATTTCAAAGAGTGACAATTCACCGTTCGCAGCTGTGTGGTTGCGAAGGCCAAAGCGTCCCGGTTGTTAAAGCAAGTTAATCCGATTACCTACTTAGACACTAGAGCAGCGAAATTCACGAGCCCCCCAAAAACATGCCAGGCCTTTTTCAACTGAACGCATCAAAACACATTTTGAGCACATAGTTGCAACATTATAAGGGAAACAAACCCTGAAAGTTGCATGAAGATACGGTCTTCCAAACGGGAGATATTTTTATTTTCAAAGATTTCACCTGCGAACATCCTCATACCTGTGTGCGTTTTGTTTCATTCAAAATAAAATATTACGTAACCTTTAGAAATCGGACTTCGCAACCACAAGGCTGTTCGAGTTAAAAGTCACTCCATCCGACCGAAACTATATAGGGGCACAAACTCATTCAATCGAATAATTTACTTGACCCACTGGACTGATTTTTCCCCAAAAGTTTCGTGATCCATCTAAAACTAATTATTTTCAGTCCAAAACGTGTGGTCCCTTTGTAGTTTCACGCTTTGGAAATTCGAGAGTAAGCCCATATAGACACGGTCAGCGCCGGAAGGCGTTGAAGCGGGACCCTCCCGTTTCAGTCGCATGCCCCGCGCGCAGCTAAACGCTGACTGACTAACCAGTATTAGTGTGTTTAGTCAGTGTATCACCTTTTAGTATAAAAGGATGTCCTACTAAAGCTTACCGATTTCATGGGGAACCTCGTGGAAGAAGACGGCTATGGTCGTCGAGATACCAGCGAAGGGACCGTTGACGAAGGACACACCAATGGTTATACCGTCAGTGATGTTATGGACTACGTCCCCAATTAACACCATGACTGACAGCATGTTCAGTCCTATATACACAAACGAAAGAGCTACATTACAAAAACAGCAAGAAAACGAGGACCCTTTTCTATTCCAGTACTAGAATATTTTCTATATAATCTTTATAGGCGCAGATAGACACAAATAATATATGTTGGTCGTAAACTCTGTTTTCCTGCGGAAAAGTAATGTTTATTTGAAAAGAAACAAAACGAAATTTTCGAACATACATGTATGTTTCGATGATTTTTAAAAAACATTTGGTAATTTTAATGTTGTTATAGGGATTGTTAATGCGCTGTTTGGGGCAATAATAAAGTAGTATTAGAAAAGGCCTACTTGATTCCGAAGTGATGAATTTCATCTTACACTACCAGGTGACGCGTTGACGTTTAAGGAGATCAAAGTAGTTTGGGACTTAGCACATCTCAAAGAAGATAGTTAAAATATGTAACCTTTGGTAATACTTGAGGTTTACTCAGTTTTTTTTTATTTCTCATACTTCCTGCCATAAAGTAGGCCTAATATGTGCTTACATTTATGACATTTTTTTTTCATTTCAAGTCGTTATATAGATAGCCATGTTTGGATCCCTAAAATAGATGATAATGATCTACTTTTTAAATGAACCCGACGCGGTTCTAGACCCTTGGACCCATTCACGCAAATGATACGGTTAATCTAAATGAGTTTACCAAATTTACATTGACGTAAGAGCTAGAGATAAAGGTGGCCCAAGAGCGCTAACTGAAATACACTAGGCTGTACACTGCGCCTATACCATGTGGCCTTTGCATACTTAACCACTCACAAACATTAGGTAATTGGCCAGTACCGACCAGTATTGGGCTTGTAGGACTATTGGGCCAGTTACCTAATGTTTGTCTCAAGGAAAGAACTTTACGCTCACCAAATATTGTCTGTTGAGATTTTGGTAATTCAGAGGCGGCTTCTTTGTCTTTGTCCAATTTCATATCCTTGGTTGTCGTTTCCTCCACCTTTTCAAAAGACAAAATAAAGTATTGTTGAGGCCGGAAAGACATTGAGTGGAATCTAACTGTAATGGCACGGGCTTCCAGTCCATCGAGAATGTTCCTCTGTAAACGACTGACATTTAATGGCTAGCCATTGGCTAGACCTTTTGTCAAAATCAGAGTTTGCAATGTTACTTATTCATTACAAATCTACTTAACTTCCGCCAGGATGTAACAAGGATAAGTTAAGTCTGGTTTTATTTCTTCTTCTTTTACTCCAAGCAATGTTTGCTTTCCAATAAAGGTGTTAGCAGCTTAAAGACATTGCAAAGTTACTTTCCATTGCCCATCCAAATGATAAAAATAATAGTGTCACCATTGCCACTCACGTTCTGTTTACTATAATTGCCCCCCCCCCCCGCAACGATTTTTTTTTTATCGGAGGAGCGAAGACACCCTTTTGTCTCAAATTTTCAGGAAATAAATTAAAACGAGTACCTCCCTCGCAAGCCATCAGCTACACATACATTTTAGTTTTAATATTATATTATGGGAATAGCGCACGATATCAATCTCCTTCTCTTTTGTTAAAAAAACATTCAACATTTGAGCCCTCTTGGCCCCCGAAAATTCGGTTCTGGATCCGCCCTTGCACCTGTCTGTACTTCTAAGATCTGCCACCCATATTTAATGTCTTACCTCTTTTTAATGTCTTACCTCTTTGTTTGATATCGTGTCCTGATCATCCTGCTTTCCATCGTGGTTTTCATCAGTTTTCGTGCTCTCGTGATGGTATTTCTCGCCGACTTCCTTCATCGCATCAAGATGCGTCCCGCATTCGTCGTCTTCGATGAAAGTCTGAAAGAAAGGAATCACGCGAGTTGAGGTGCAATCCAATGAAGTGCCGCCCATTTGGCACGTGGGCAGCAACACGTGCGCCTCTGCAATGGCTCATGTTCACTGGTGTGATACCCCTCCCCCTCCCGCTGACTTTTGATTTTACGTACGGAGGCCAAGTGCATCCGGAAAAAAATGTCTACATTTCGGCGAAGATGTGTGAGTGCGGTTGCCCCCCCCCCCCCCCCCATCAAAAGCTGGATACGCCACTGAGGAAGTACAACACATGCCAGGGTTTGGGTTCAAACTTACTCAAGTCGATGTCGTTTGTTGAAACTACAAGGTTACAAGAGCTGGACAGCATCAGAAATGGCAAATAACTAAAATAATACGTTTCGTTTCGTTTAACTTGGGTAGTACAGGGCAACATCTGTGCTGATCCCCCTGTCCTTGACCAAGCAGCTCTTCATCGAGCATGATTTGTAAATCATAGCCCCTTCGGATGCTTTTGGATTAGGTCAAGTATATGGAGTGTCATGGCCTAGTGGTTAAGAGCACCAGACTCATGTTCTTGTGTTTCAGAGGCAACAGTGACGTGGGTTCGAGCCCGCCGGCAGACACTTAATGTGCTCTTAAGCAAGGCACTTAACCATTATGCTTCGTCCTTCGGATGGGACGTAAAGTCGTAGGTACCGTGTGTTGTATAATGCACGTAAAAGAACCAAGTAAACACGTAACGCTAAGAGAAAGGGTTTGCCCCGGTGTTTCTGGCCTCAGTCCTGTATAAACTCCCACGTGGAGTATTTAGGAGAAGAACCAACCAAGAACCAAGACATACCAGGTACCTAGTACCAAGTGTACAGCGAGTAACTCTTTGTCTATCTTTGTGTCCTTATTTTAGTAGCCCTGTACCTTTAGTGGGTCTTACCCCATGCAATTAAAGGATGTTTCTATTTTAAAAAAATAATAATAATAATAAATTTAGAAAAATACAAAAAACGGTCATACCTCTCGCCTGGGACGAGAATGGACGTGACCGTGGCCGTGGGGCTTCCCCTTTAGACAGAGTGACATCAACCGCTCAAACACGAAGAAGAAGTAAACAGCGAGGATGACAGTCAGGGTGATGAGGATGTGGTTGGGCTGACCCTCCGTCTTGGGCATGCCGTGGATGCCTAGAGCCTTGAATCACAGAGAAGGGAAAAGTGTTTATTCGTCACGTTGAAATTCCTTGGCGTACTTTCTTGAATCCAGCTTGAGTATTTAGATTGCCTTAATTCCTTAATTAATTAGTATTCAGATTTACTAACTTGCTTGATTAACATTACATAAGTAAGCTTATATACTCATGAATTTCCTTGATTAAGTATGGCCTTTTCAGCTTAGCTCGCTTATGCATTGGTATTCAGCTCTATATCATTATTTTTTTTATAGCAGTTTCGAGAATGCATTTGTCCCGAGCTATTAACCAACATAGTCTTTTGGTTTGGTGATCTTTCTGCCTGATCGGTTCTATAGTATTGGTTCTTATAGCTCCCACTCGTGCGTTGTTTTTGAACGACTAATCTGTAACTGTCTGGCATACTGAAGCTTCAAATCCCTTAAACTTTCACGATTGTGTTACATCAAAATCGTCCTTCTGGCTTACCTCAGGTAGGAGATGCAGCAAGGCGTCCCCGGACAACGAGCTTACGGCTAGGGCTACGAACAGCTGCATAACAGCAGCGTAGAACCTGGAGCCATGAGTGGGTACGGCTATCATGGCCAGCATGGATAGTATTGTGATAGAGGCTACGGCTATGGTAGCCCAGGCATACACTGTCAATGGGGAAGAATTTAGACTAAAATTAATATTGAATTCCATTCGATACACTAACGTATCATCAGAGGTAACTTCCCAAGATGGCATCACTGCAGTGCTCATGGCTATGTAAATTTGAAGGCCCGGCCATGCAAAATTTGTTTTCCCAAACTAGATCGAACAATATCAAAAGAGGGCGATCTTTCTGTGTTATGCATATTCATGATGTGGAGTGCTGTGGCCTCGTGTTAAGGGCACTGGATTCGTGGTCTGTGGGTAAAGCTGCCGGTTGTGGGTTCGAGTCCAGCCGGGGTCATAATGCGTATGCCCTTGAGCAAGGCACTTTGTCACTCATTGCTTCTCTCCACCCAGGAGTAAATGGGTACCTGTGAGGGCAGAGATGGTTATTGTGATTGAATAAGCTTGCTTGCGCCTAACAGGCAGCATCCAGCTGTATGCCCTCCCGGGAGCTGAGATGGTATTTGGAATGTTTAATTGGGCCAATGATCAGGGGTAATAATAATACTGAAGTGCTGTGATTTAGTTTACTTATAAGAGCGTTCTTAAATGCCGATTATTATTGTTATTATTATGTCCAGGGCTTTAGAGAATAAGTTTTATAACAAGGAATAATAGTGTTTAAATCACCGACGATTGGCAGCTCATTCGTGGACTGGTTGGAAGTAGTCTTGGCTTCTAATCACATGATCCGAGTTCGAGTCTCAGTGAGCGTTTTTCACTTCTTCTCATTTTACCTTTTAAATAACTGAAGTGAGGAGGAGCATTTCTCACAAGACGTAAAGCCTATCTCGGGTTTGTGTTGTGGAGAACAATTCATTAGATATGCATGTAATGGACCAATCAGAAGATAGGAAGCGGATGGCGTTTGGGAAAAAAAGATTCGCGGCCCGGATAACCAACTAAAAGTGGTATAAATTATTGTGCCCCCAAAATGTTTGCATGCAGAAGTGTGGAGTCATGATACTCAGCAGGATTAATCTGTGCAACAAAACATTGAGAAGTGAAAGTAACCTCACTGATATACTAAACGTATGAACATTTTTATGGGTGATGTGGTGCGTGTGTCAAGGCCGAGACTCATCATAAAAGTAAAAGTTAAGTAGACCCGTCGAAATGTGGGGTAGGAATTCGCCCGTTTGATTTATGTATTTGTGATAATTTCACCACCCCTATTATCTGGGAGGTACAGTCCATCTTCGGTCAAAGTTATTTCCCTCAATCACCCGACGTCCAACAAAATGAATACGTACATTATCTGCCAATATTAGAATGCATAGGAAGATACATGGAATGTTCAAAGATACAATGACACTGGTTTCGGGTGGAAAGCTTCAACCTACTTTTTAGATCTAGCTCTGTTGGTGGGGTAACAGGGGCGACGCACCCCTGAGTGATCTGCTGGATGAGAGACGGGCAGATTGATGCAAATCTCTCCTCTGGAATACCCTTGCTCGCGTTGAAGATGGCCACTAGATCGTCGGCCAAGAAGCACTTTTGAAAACAAAACAAATTCAGGTCTTAGTATGAGTGGCGAATCATATTCACTTACTCTATATTATTCTGTGAGATTTGCTTGGCTCATCATAGAATGGAATCGGTGAAATTATTTAAGATTTCCAAACAAAATAGTCATGTAGAGTGTTCGAACTGAAAGGAAAATACATTGATAGGTTTACCTGTCTGACGGTTGAGGTTTTTTTCGATGCATTTTATGTGTTAAAATGACGGAGTTTTATTATTGAAGCAATCTTTTTGTGCAGCCTACTCACTTGTTTAATGGCAGTATGATCATCGTCTGAATCTGAATGGTTTGTCGGCGACTGTGCGGTAGTAGTAGCCATTAGCTTCCCGACACCTAGATCCTGGAGTAGACTGTCAAACTCTGTTGGGCAATGAAAACACAAGAGGAAGTGTCCAGGAATGTGATGGGCTTTTTTTTTGGGGGGGGGGGGGTGCAAGCCTGGCGCGAAGGAAAACGTTTGAAGTTTTTTTTGTTTAGAGCAGGGTATTTATATTTGGGGGGGGGGGGGGTTGTTTCCGATTATAAGTATACTTGTTGATTAAAAGAGCATAAAACGGAGTAAAATTTGTCGACACAGAGTGTAATTTTTGAAAGGCTTATTATTTAACTGTAATTGTTGTTCATGCCACTTTTTCATTGTCATGTCAGTGATGGTAACTAAATACATGACAATAATAAACTCGGAACAGTACTCAAACTTGTAACTGGACACACCGGTATATAAATGTACATGTATGTCTATGTTTTTTTTTGTTTTGTTTTTTACTCCCAGCAGACTCTATTTCTAAGGTTGGTTTTCCTCAAGTGTTGACATAAGGGTGGATGTGGGGAGGGGGGGGGGGGGTAGTGTCGCATTCTTAGGGTTCTCCTCTACCACATGTTTTTAATTATCTCAATTTTACCTATTGTATTGGATGTGAACTTTTAATGTACTTTTATAGTTTTGATTTTTCTAGTGGCACTATCATTGTGAATTGATCTGTGTTTTGTATGTATGTATAGTCTTAAATAAGTCATGTAATTTTAATTATGTTTTAATTGATAGATGGCCCATTGAAAATCATCTGTCAGGTGACATGGCTACCAGTAAACTCGTATTTTTGTCACATGATGTTATTTATAATAATATTGGACATTTTATAAAGCGCAAACATATCCACCTTGAGTTGCTCAAGGCACTATACGTCATTTGTGCACAAGCCATTTATGTCATCTTGAAGTAATTTGGATGCGGCATTATGTCAATGAACATTTTTCTTCACATCTCTACTCTTGCCATGTAGTCTGAGTATCACCCGTTGTCCAACGGAGCCCTTCGTAACCAACGTCTGATATGTATGTGAGCAAAGCACATTTTACTTTGCGGCCACGCGCGCCAGCTAATCGGAGTCGACTTTAGAAATTGTGACGTCATTTCCATGAGAAATGGGGACTAAGCTGTTGATTGGTCAGTTTGACCGACACGTTTTTGTAATACAACAACGGGTTACGGAAGACCCGATAGAAGGCGCCGGATGAATGGTCGGAATCTGCATAGTTAATCACCGAATCTGCTCGCATTATCATAGACCCTTGCTGTGCAAGGGGATATTCCATAGATAGCCATTTCCCATATGCCAAAAAAAATTCTGTTAATTTTCTAAGTAATTTAAAATGTGTTGCTATGGTTACTTACGATCTTCATTGATAACACCTGAAGTGCCGTACTTTTCGTAGATCGCTTCGACAAACAAGGATGCATCTATGTCGCCGACCACGACCGACCTGCGCACTCTTCCTACGGTGGACCGGCCCAACGCGCACGTTCCCTGTTGGAGTTTGGAGACGAGTACCGAGCCCACGCGAGCCAGCTCGTTGATAGTGGCGGGGGCCACTGGGCCATCTCGCCGGCTGGCTGTGCCGCCGAGTTGTGCGTTGCTAGAAACACTGTTGTTCTCTATAAAGCACTGTAATGGAACAATTTTCATTGTGGAATCAAAATTATTCAGGTTTTTTGTTTTGTTTGTCGGAATAATGGTCGTGTCGTGATGAGCAGTCTGCAATGAGTCTGGAAAACAAGCCTCTACTTTATAACGATGCATTCATAAGATGGAATTTTGTATTGAGTTGACTTAAATTCAATATTTGGTCAATTTTGCCCTTCATCGACGTAGTTTTATAAACACGGTATTCTCAGTGTTGTCCCAAGTATTTGTGAGAAAAAAATTACTCGGGTAAAACCAACTATTGAATGTACATGTACATCACCCAACGCAAACAAAAAGTCATCCTCTGACTAGTTGGTTGCACTGCTATATTATCAGATTCGAACAGTCAGCCGATCCTGAAAGCTTGGTGGTCGAGTGGTAAGACGTCTGCTTTATTAAGCTGGAGGTCATGGGTTTGAGTCTTACCCGAGTAGTTTTTCTCACAATTACTAGGGACCACACTGAGTATACAGTGTTTATAAAAAAATACGTCGGTCAAGGTCAAATCCAGCATTGAATTATCAATATGTTTCTTTTCATTTTGAAAACATATCTTGCACAGAATGACCTCAATGTGGACATGTATTTTTTTTCCTCCGTGATGTCCTTTCATTATCACTGAATTAAAAACAAAAAACATGTTCAATGAAGGCGCTCTGCGCAAGCCCTCAGCTCGGCTGTCCGGATATAAAGCCTCGATCCCTTCCTCATATTCCTTGATAAACCCTTTTAGACTTACATTACCAACCCCGTCTGCAACAACTGTGGTTCTAGAATATGCCGACTCGATTAACTTGAATGCAAGCTCCATTCCTCTGATTTCTGGACCCGCCCACAAAGCTTTGCCATTAAACACTTATCTGTTCTTAAAGAAAGTCTATGAAGTTCTTGAATACTTTACCTCGTCACATATCTCCCTCTTAAAGAATTGCCGACAGGACAGGTGATCTTCAGGACTAATATCCTTCGTATCCAGCTGTTGAGATGTGACAATAGCTGCGTCTGCGCCGACACTTTTTCCTTCTGTTATGACTTTAAAACCGGGTCGAGAGTTTTGCAATTCCTTTCCCAGTAATTTGGTGCATTCGGATACCATAGCTGTGCACATTAGACACAGCACACAGGCCTTCAAGCAACAGGCTAGACTGACGAAGCTTGCCATTGCAACTTGGCGCTAAAACTGAAGACTGAATCGTTTCAGTGGACAGAAGTGAGTTTTAAGAGATTGACACAAGCATTTGGTATGATTGTGAACGCCCCTATGTATACTCTTAGTCGTCACCCCGGCGCTTTGTTCCTCCGGCCGAGTATCACTGTATTTTTGTTTACATAATCATCAGACTTTATACCTAACGCAACGATATCGAAACCAATTTCGAAGTCTTATCAATTTCGAAGTCTTATCAGATAGTTCACTGATGCTTGTTTTCGGATTATTGTTATCGCAGCAATAAAACCAGGATTTGTTAGTTGAAAAAAAAAAAATAATGGTCGGGGCTTTTATTGATTGTGGTGCAACGTCCACTCGGGCCTCAACAAATTTATTGACTTTCAACTTACGTCATTGAAATTACAATAACAATAGATTTAGCTCCAGCTAGCTCATCGTGCACCGTAATTTTTCTATTTTAGAGTACCCTAAATAAACATATCCGGATGAATTCAGTATCAATGAATAATATATCAATGTATACCATAAACCTTTAACCGATCCCACCTTCAGACTGTTTCTCATAAGGTCGATCCAGAAGTAATAACCCTAAAAGGGCCGGGGCGAAAGCCACCCCCCCCCTTCAACTTTTTCCGCAATACCCTTGAAAAAAGTTTCGCAACCCGAGCTGTTATGACTTTGTAGCCTCGAGTGTTGCGCATCTGTTGGTACCAAAAACATGAAATTCGGACGATGGGTTGCCACGCAGCGAAAAAATTTCCGGCGCTATACTCGCCATGAAAACTGAATTTCCCCATATACGTAGTGTACACAGGATATTACCATTCGTGCATATGAATAATTAATTAGCCATAATTCCAAAACCATTTGACCTATAATCATGAAATTTCTTGGGTATGTTTACGTTAAGTTGTTCTATGCATGTACCGAGTTTCATCATTTTTCGTCACTCGATGGCCAATATCACCCCCCCCCCGGCTGTGAGATGGTCAAAATAACCCTGCACTTTTAGTGTCATAGATGCAATGAGAATCACAATTAAACACTTTGCGAAAAGTGTGCAGGGATTTATGTAGACTTGACATCATTAAATTTGTTTGTCTTCTTTTCATGTCATCTCCTGACACAGCGTTATGCGTTTCTTTGTTCACGGTATAATAGGATAACTGATCCATTGAATCACGGTAATACGTTCGAAAACGAAACTCTGGAGTGTTACTACCTGAAAGTGAGCAACGTGAACGGATAGGTATTCCCGAGGCGTGGCTCAATACAAACAATAATAGCGAGAGAAAATGAGCATGCAAAACTTAATACGTTTAACAGAACTACCTGTAGTAAATTATATAATACCATTCTTTGCTATGTACAGACATATTATATACCAAGAGTTATCTTGTTATCTTGACCTATAGTCATGAAATTTCTTGGGTATTTTCATGAAGAGTTGCTTTATGCATGTACCGAGTTTCAAAATTTTTCGTCACTCGATAGCTGAGATCTTAGGGGGGCGGAATCCGCCCCCCCCCCTCCCGGCTGAGAGATGGTCAAAATAACCCGGCCCTTTTAGGGTTAATGACATCACCTCAATGCTTCTGAATATGGACATTCTCGTTATCATAAACATCGTCTGAAATAATTATACCTAAACAGCTGCAGATTTGCATTCAAAAAATTAACAGTTATGAAAGTGACGTTAGATTTCAGGATCTGCTATTCAAAATCCAGTTCGGCTCCAATATAGACAATGTGACACTTGACAAAACTGCGCATTGCGGTAACGTGCAGGGAAGTATTTGCTTTATACATGTACAACAATGTTATCACTTGAATATGATAACATAGTTTGATAACATATTTGACGTGACATTTTATTACTACCCAAAAGAGATAAAGGCCTACGCATCGGTAGCCATTATTGTGTTTAGCCACCGTTAATGACGTCACATTTATATATAGCCACGCAATAATTCGAGTAAACCCCACACGAAATTTAGTCTACACTAAAGTGTAATAAAGGTCAGTGGATAGTAAAAACACTCTTTAAGATGAACAAAGTATATTCTCCAGAGTGAGTAAAAAAAAGGTCCTTTTGGATACGTTCTTGACTCCCACAAAAACGGGAAAGGTTACCAAATGTTTCTCTTCGGCCAACATTCGGTCTTGGTATTGACAACAGTCTGTAAAACTTTGATATTCAGTCATGCATGAAAAGGATACAGGCCTTTCTTTGGGACTACCCCAAAACACTACCAACACAATGTTCAGAATAGCCAAGGCCTTTTGCTATCAACACAATGGCAACAATGGGCCTCTGGACAATGAAGGAAATAAAAGGAGTAACAGAACAGGTTCACAATTTAACAGTCCTCTTCAGGTTCTTGCTTGTTTCATTTTGCCCGTATTTTACAACGTTTCTGCGCACTGTCCTAGCGTTAGGCTGCCGTATCTCCGGAAGGTGTTCTCCAAATTGACCTATTGTGTCTTGTACCCTACACCTGTTTCATAAAAACGTTCTGAACTTCAGACCATTAGGCCAAAAAAAAAATACTCGGTTTCTGGTCAGACCAAAGTTCCGGAATTGACGCGGGGACTCGGCTTTTTTTTTTTTTTGCTTTTTTTTCTCTTCAAGCTTGGATTGTACAGACAAGGTGGGTACTATTTTGCTTTTTTGGTGTCCTCCATAATTTGCCTTGGTGCTCTCGATCATTTGCCTTGGTGCAATTTCCCATTCCTTGGTACTCTTTGGTAAAAAAAAAATGAGGAGGTGCGGCAATAGAGGGCTCTGTTGGAGCTACCGCGGAACATTTTGGGGAAAAAAAGAGATTGACGCGCATGATTAAAATCGACGCGCGCGCCGACCAGAGACCGACTTATTTTTTTTTGGCCTTAAGGCCCTTTGGACAGCAGTAAACTGTGGCCTTGCCATGGCTACTTTGAAATGTTATTGTAGTGAGACGTCTTTTACGAAGCACCGTACAATTGGCACACAGCCCAGAAAAAATGCATATAAACGCCTGCACTTAGTTAGCCTTTCGCCAAGGCCATCGTGGCTTACAGCGGCGGAGCTGCGAATGCACTAAGTGACTGGAGAAAAGATTAAGTCATCAGCACTCACGAATGTAAAAGCCACGAGGCCTTTTCGAACTTGATTTTGCGGTTTTGCGGTTTTTGTTGTTGAATGCTGACTCCGTCGTTTCCGATTGTTTGGAATTTTGCTACCCTTTTGGGGTAGCAAAAATCGAGATTATAAGGAAAAACTTAAAGAAATTCTTGGCGAAAGGCTAGCACTCAGTGCGTGAACGTGCGAATATCAGCCCTTTTCTGCCTGCACACAAAAGTGTGAGTATCGTGTGCATAGATTTGTGCTAAAAAGCCAACATTTTAGTGTCAAATGAGCAAACTGTAGTTTCTTTACATTCTATTGTCATAACTTAATGCAGGCTTTCTGCTACCGCTGGGCTAGGTTTTAGTTTATTTCATGTTGACGAAAGGAGTGATTTTCGGGTGAATTAGGCCGTGTCCGAAACGGGCTTCCAGAGCTACGGCTACGTCTATTGTCAGCGTGTCCCCGCGTATTTTCAATGGGCACAGACCTAGACCTAGCTCTAGGCAGTTGATTCGGATGCAGCCTTAGTCTTCGCAACCTCAAAGTTTCACCGTGTGTCACATGTTGATTTATTACAACACGACTGTTTCATGTCAGGTGCAATTTGGAGGACTAGTTCACAACACAGCCGTATACATGTACTACTGCCATGGCCAGGCGTTCGGGGAACCTGGGAATCTTAGGAACCTCACTTTTAACCTTAGTGCAACTTGCAACCGGGGCAACTTTAGAAATACAAACTTTGTGATTATAATTTATCATTGTCAACTGTATTACAATTTATAGAGCTGGAAATGGATTCTTTTATGCTTTTTGTAACACTTGTTTTGTGAGTTAAAATTGAGATCGGGTGTTTAAACTATTGTAATCGATTTTTGTGAACAAGTTCATGAGACCAAGCCTAATTTGACTCCTAGTGTTTTGATTCTGTCTATTTGTCTTGATTGTCCTTGGCGTCCTTAAATCTAATCATTTGAGCGGACCTCCTAAATGGCGTACCGCTACATTATTGTATTTATTAATGTATGTATTTATGTTCTGTCTTGCAGTGTGCTGGCCAATAACGACAAATGTCCCCTTAAAATATTAAGAAACATTGTGTTGGTGGTGTATCCTTTTCATGCATAGCTGAATATCAGTGAAACTTTTACTGACTGTGGTCAATACCCAACCGGATGTTGGCCGAAGAGAAAGTAACCTTTCCCGTTTTTGTGGGAGACAAGGACATATCCAAGGGGACTTTTTTTTTGTTGCTCGCCCTGTATTTATCATACACAGGGAATAGAATAACAGTATTTGCGACACAACTGCGGCCATTAAATATATTGTGTCAAAAGAGAAAAAACAGTCCGATGAAAATCATGACTGAGTAAAATGCCATATTTAAAAAAAAAATATGACATAAAGAATGCCCTTTTTTATATTATAAACCTGAATCCACTGTTCAGTCTTTAAAATTAATCGTAAAGCCTCGATTGGATTGGTGTATTAAACGCTCATTATTTGCGAATTTGTCAAGAAATGGTGCAAGATTATGAACAGTGGTGCAGTGCAATTATCATAGATATTAATACATTGAATATTAATGTAATAAAGTGATCGGTAATATTCTGGAAAAAAACCACAATTGTTCGCATAATCCTGTACCAATTAGAGGAACCAATTCCATATTTGTAATTTATTAATGGATTGTAGTTAGCAACACCGAGGGCATATGCATCTAAAGCAATAAGAGGTTTAATTTTTTTTTTTAATTTCGTTAAAATACGATTATAAGTGACTGTCATTAGTATTTTTTTTTTTGCAGAAGCCTTGTCTGTGAGATAATTCTGGAATTTGTTGTTGTAGGCCTATGCCTGCTGTTTTCTCTTCTTCTTTGTTTACAGTTTTTTAAGCCTATGGTATATACTGGGGAAGTAAAAAACGAAACCCAAATTGCAGGACCAATTTGTGAATAAAATTTTGCCTGTAGCACTTTTAAAATGTAGAATATAAAAGCCCAGTTATTAAGCTTTTTTTAGTACAAGAATCATTCAAATCACTTACGTACTTTTCAAGTTACGGAATGTTGAACACAAACACCGTTTTAAAGTTCCGTCCACGGATCACAAAAAAAGTAAGTGTTCTTTCAACGCAACGAAAACAATTCTAATAGGGATGCATGTGAATTGTTTTCGTTTTGCTGAAAGAACACTTACCTTTTTGCAGGTTTTTTTTGGTTATCCGTGGACAGAACTCTAAAACGGTGTTTGTGTTCAAAATACCGTAACTTAAAAAGTACATAAGTGATTTGAATGATTCTCGGGCTTGGGCTTGCATATCCTAGATTTTGAAAGTGCTACGGGCAAAACTTCATTCAAATGGTCCTGCCATTTGGGTTTCGTGTTTTTTTTTTACTCATCCTGTACATTGTACGCCGCAAAGAAGGCCTAATTAAAATTCGTGTAAAAACTTTGCGTATCCTCTTCAATAGGCCTATATGAATGGGAGAAAGGATGTAAAGCTATATTACGTAAGTTCCAGGCGCGGTTCTAGAACCAATATTTTTTTGGGGGGGGGGGCTAGCATGGTGAATCCAGAATGTTTTCAGGGAGACGTGCTGAAATGTTGACCGGTTATTTTTTTCCAGACACTTAGGCCTCCGAAAATCAATAGGTGGGGGGAGGGGGGGGGGGAAGGGGGGGGGGGCTCGTGCCATATTTTCAATGGGGAGCGACAATAAAATCCTAAAATCATTAACACTATATTAACTAATGCACCCTTGTCACCGCTATTTCTTCTTTGGGGGAGACCGTTCGCATATACATCACAATCCTTCTTTTTGCTAATGCAATTGTTTTTTTACGGAATTTATTTGGGGGGGGGGGGGGCTAGACATGCCCGAACAACTGATCTCTATTGTACTGACGCACGTTCAGAAATTGTTTATAGGCAGCCTATCCAATTCAAGTTCGATCGTCTGTGTTATTTCGATGCATGCGGCGGCTAAGGTAAGGTCTGGCAGCCGACGCTCAGACTCTCCATGCTCGTGTGCTGACACGGATAAGGGGCCATCGCGGTAAAAGAGCTCTTTGCGTTATCGCCACTTCTTTTTGGCGTGGTTCGTGATGAAACCGTCTGATCGCGCGCAAGCATTCCGCGTAAGAATGCCGGAAGGTGTTTTCTGAAACCGGTACCGGCAAATGGGTAAATGAAAGGGTTGACCACACTGTTCAGGTAGATGATCAAACTGGCTATGTCCGAGCCGATTAGGAAAGCGGGACTGAAGGCAAGGAAATCGGGGTCCCACACCAACCACATCACGAGCACGCGATACGGCAGCCACGACAGCGCAAAGACCGCGATCACAACCATGATTAAACGGAGAGTTCGGCGCATGCGTTGCGATTTTCTGGCCGTGCTGGTACCCGACGCTGTAGCGGAACCTGGTGTCTTCTGTCGAAGCTTCAGCCAGATCTTCAGGTAGCACACTGAGATGAACATCAGCGGAACGATGTACATTGCGATGGCGGCGTAGGTCTGGAAAACCTTCTGGCCGTATTCCCAAGGAAACCAAATGGTGCAAAAGACAGCATAAAAGGATACTTTGACCGAGTAGACGATGACCGGAACATACATCGCAAATGAAACTAAGAGCAAAACAAAAGCAGGAAACGAACTACAGATCAAGACCTTCAAAATAGTAACCGTGAATACTAAACACTAGAAAGATGTCCTTAGTCTTTGTTTCTTTGACCGTTGCCTGATATGTCACTTACCAGCCCACAGAATGACTATACCGAACAGAAAGACCCGTTTGCGTCTTTCGGTGTGTTGGACGGCCTCCAGCGGGTACGCAACCAATCTCCATCGGTCGTATGACATCATCGCCAACGTAAGACCCGTCACCTCACCAATAACCTGTCATCGGATGAAAGTGTCAGGGCAATGAAAGCTTTTATCCATAATATTTAAAAGAGTTGTACCACTGCTGATGTATTAAGGACTCAACGGTAAGTGGTAACTTCGTATTGGTAGGCCCCACTATAACGTCTCCCGTTATCACAACAAAAATGGTCTGCGAGCTAAAGAAGCTTAGGAAGATTAAAGTATATTTTCAAATTCCTTAATGAAAAATCCTCCGAAACAGTCCAAGTAATTCAATTTTGCCTGTCTTTTCTTATAGGAGAATTGAAACAAGTTGCATGTAAATTGTGTAGCACGGCCCCAATACATACGTGTCGAAGGTAGAACGTGGGCCAGCAGTTGAGGCTCACCGACACGGCGTAGCCAAAGGTGTCCAGGGTGATGGACAAGGCTTGAAAGACCAACAGGAGGATGTCAGTCAGCGCCAGGTTGGCGAAGGAGAAGTTGGTCGTCGTGTGCATGTCACGGTAACGCACCACGATGTAGATAACAGCCGAGTTGCCCACGAGACCCACTGCGATTACCACAAATGTGAAGATGCCGATGGCCTTCTGGACAGGCTGACCAAATAGCGGGTCGACGGGAAGCGGGATCTGGGACGGAGTTGGGTCTGTCTCGTTTGAGATCGGGGTTAGGGTGGATAGCACGACCGATGCCATGGTCTGTATCTTCTGCGTGCATTCATATACAAAAATTAACACCCTGTGAGCAATAGTATATATTTCAACTCTCTCACCACGATCTGGTGAACAGAAAGGACTGTAGCGTATTTTGTTTTAGCTTTTGATCTCCATGAGACTCTTTGTTAAACAACTTTGTATAGTTTGCTTCAAAATCGACCGTTTATCTTTCAAACTATCTTGTGGTAAATGCTTGCATCAATATTTATCAAGGCAAACAAGTAAATTTGTTAAGACAGCAGTATAAGTGCACTTGTTTGTCGGCTCTTTAAACAAAAGTACGAAGTTTGACGGTCTACCCCCAAAATGCTGAACTATAGTGCAAACCATGTAAAACAACAATGACAATGCAAAAAGTTGACAGCGATCAGAAATTCTAATCGAATAAAGGTGCCTCCGATCTCCGTTATTAAGATGTTTCATTGGTGGCAGATTCAAAATTGAGATCGAACTTTCTGATGGCAGAAGTATGTTGTATGTTATATTAGGCAGGCGTGTAGGCCTATCGGGGTGACGTCTTATAAGTAACCTGACATACAGCTCAGACGTTTTCTTGTCTTCTATCGGATAAGGAGATTAACTCGATAGTAATTTAGTTTACTTTTTAAAATCCATCAGGGGTGCTACTTTTTTTTCTTTTTTTTTCTTGTTCTCTCTCCTAACAGTATGTGCATGTTTTTGTTTTCTTTACTGTTCTTATTGTCTGTACTTGAATTTTTACCTGTGAAATTAATAAATGAAATGAAATGAAATGAAATGAAAAGTGGTTTATTTATAACAGGGATTCCCATTTTTGGACTGAAATGACGTGCATACGGTTTTGTGTACATGTTTACTATACCCTAGTATAAACTGGTTGAACGGTTTGTAGGACAGTACAACAACAGCGGCGGCGAATAGTGGTTTCATTGAGAGGTCTTCTGTTTTTACTGAAAAGGATACACTAGACAAATTTTGGCAAATGGGTTGGTATGTATAGACCAAATTGTGTAAGCATACCAACTGCAGACACTCTTGGCAGTCTTGGGCAAATTCGTCCCAAAAGGTGGTAAATTTTTAACCGAATTTACCAACAACAAGGTAAATTTAAACCAATGTTGGGCAAGTATCCTATCATTGCCTAGTTTCTGGATATACCTTTTTACGATACGACCCACGACAGATGATGTTTCGTGCCAAAGAACAAAGAAGAGAACTATATCACACAAAATACGGTACACGGAAAAGGACGCCATCTATAAACCTGCGTGCGTCATTATGGTCATACCTTGTACATGTATAAGAATTCGCATTGACTTTGTTACGTGTACACAATGGGGATTCTTTATAATTATGGCCGCTTTGTATCTATCCATAAAATTTCAATTCAATTTCAACAAATTACCACCCAATTTAGCTTCAGGGTCATTCGTTTCAGCAATAGTTTCAATGCAGTTTAAGATCACCATTCAATTAACTAAAATGAATGTTAAATTTAGTTTTCGAGCACGCAATCGGAAAATTACGGCAATTTCATCTAAAAGTACGCTCATTCAAATTAAAATCATCGGCGAATATCATTAAAAAAAGTCAAAACCTTGAGGCAAGACCATGTGGTCAAATGAATTCTCAATGGGCAAACATTTTCGACGTTTTGGCATAGGAATTCAAATAGACCACTTACATCATATTTTGGAGAACAATCACTGAACATTAAAATATATATATATGCCGAGATTAGAGCAAAAACAAAACCCAATCAGTGGACAAACACAAACGACGTGATCGATTGGTTTGTAAAACTTCCAGACAAAGACACCTTAAAGGGAAAATACAACATTTGCAAACATTAAGAAATAAAACTACCAAATTATTTTGAAATACCTTGCTGGACTGTTAGAGAATGGCAGTCTAAAACATCCTGTAAAAATCATGGCACCTGGTATACTGTCATTTTCAAGAAAAGTGTTATTTTCGTATCAATTTCCAACGCTGGTCGGCCGACCAGCGTTGGAAAAAAACTGTTTTTTTTCCCATAAACTGGCCCCAGTTGACCATATTTAGTAAGTCTGGTTTTGTTTGCAATCGATTACACACCTGTGAACGGGTACAAGCCATCTAGACTGGTTCCATGACCTTACAATTCTCCAACGTCTATAAATTGCTCCGTTTCATCTTAAATGGAGTCAGGGAACCAGACTTCAGGAAAATGATTGCTTTTCTTGGTTTTTATAGTATATACGAACCCAAAACGTAACAAAAGTCAGTGTAACAATATTTGCTATATCATGATTACCAACCCTTGAAATCCATCCATTTCTGAAATTTACAGCATAAGCAAATGATGTATATTGCCTTTAACTTTCTTGGTGTTTGACATAGTGGATTTCTATCCATCTATTACACAAGAACTCCTATCCACTTGCCTTAGCTGGGCAAAAATGTACACCAAAATCAAAGACATCGAATTCCGCACCATCATGCACGCCAGGAGAACCATGTTATTTGACAACAACAACACAGTATGGGTGAAAAGGGAAGCTAAACAGGATTTCGACGTTTCCATGGGAGCCTACGACGGTGCCGAAATTTGTGAACTTTTTGTTGGGCTATAGCTCAACACATCCAGCATTGGGCTGTACAGAGACGACGGACTGGCAGTAGGACCGACAGAGCAAGAAAGACCTCACCAAAGTCTTCAAGGACCTTGGATTGCAAAAAACTGTGCAGTCCAACCTGAAAGTTGTGGATTACCTGGACGTAACCTTCAACCTGGATACTGGGACATACCAACCCTATAGAAAACCGAATGACACGCCCATGTATGTCAATGTCAACTCCAACCATCCGCCAGCAATCATAAAGCACATACCAATCGCAGTGGAGAAACGAATATTGGCCCTGTCAGCCAGTGAGGATGTTTTCAGGAAAGCTGCGCCGACATATAACGAAGCCCTAAAGAACAGTGGATACAACCACATCATCAAGTTCTCCGAGCACAATCCCTCGGAACCGAACAAGAAAAGAAAAAACAGATCTAGGAAAATAATATGGTTTAATCCACCATAAAGTGCCAATGTCAAAACAAACGTCGGTGGGAACTTCCTAAAACTGATCACCAAGCACTTTCCTGTAGGGCATAAGTTGCATAAGATCTTTAACAGAAACTCCATCAAAGTCAGCTACAGTTGTATGAAGAACATGAAATTGTGATAATGTCACACAATGACAGGATCATCGCAAAGTCAAAAAGATCAGACAAACCCCCTGAAAAAAACTGCAATTGCAGAATTAAAGCCGACTGCCCCCTACGTGGAAACTGCTTGGTGAAATCAGTCGTCTATAAGGCCACAGTTACCAATGGCAACGCAGTAAAGACCTACATTGGGATAGCTGGCGGATCCTTTAAGGACAGATACCGGAACCACACCAAGTCATTCCGCAACGAAAAATATGAAAAACAAACAGAGCTTTCGAAATACGTATGGGGCTTGAAGAAAAATAGTGTAGGTTACACAGTACGATGGGACATTCTGAAATAATCCAACACAAACAGACGTAGATCCGGGCAATGCAATCTGTGTATAGAGGAAAAGCTGGCCATAGCTATGAACAAGAACAATGTCATCAATCGGAGATCCGAACTAATCTCTAAATGCCGTAACGGCGACAATAATACAAAACCACCGGACGGCAGCAAGAAAAAGTAACCACCCAGCCGTGCAAACGAAGAAGTCCATTCGCCTGATGATGGCCACGCAGTCTGCGTGTGCGTGAAACCAATGGTAGCAGAATAGACCGAACCTATATGTTATTATATGCTCTGCGAAAGCATAGAGCACTATAGCTGAAACCGATATAAACCAAGTGTTATATTCATATTGATATACACGGGGTGTCTCACACACACACACACAAACGGAGCCTCAAAACTTCATCTTTTTCACAGCTTTAAAAAACATACAGCGCAAATATCGATACACATATAGAGAGTATATTTCATTAGCTTTTCAACACCGAAAAATATCTTTCAATCGGGTAAATATTTATTGAGTTGTGACCAATTGAATACATACCGCTGTTTCGTTTTGTACACGGCGACTTATATTTTGATTGCCGCAATAAGAACACGGTCCGAATCTTGAGAAAAGAAGGCAGAGACAGAGAAGCACAGTAAACATCTAAGAAGTTAACCAAACAGTCCTATTCGGGACTATTATTACTTCCAAAAGGATAAATGACCATTTTTTTTCAAACAATTTCGGACGAAATATAGAGCAATGATAAAAGAATAGATGCAGAAGATGAAGGATGTGTTGGTGAACAAATTCGAACATGTCTATATACGAAATTGAGCGCAATGAAAATGAATAAGAACCAACGAATTAGCAGTATGATCGAAATCGCTTGAATACGTCCATTCAAAAACGATTGAGTTTCTTAGGAACTTGAGTAGGAAAACCTAAGTAACCCCTAAGAAAACTGCTTGTGATTGCCTTGAGCAGGGGTTCAAACCCTGAAAACGAAGCGGGTGTATGTAGAGCCAGTTACATGAAAGAAACAAGCATAAGTCATGTCTCAAATTTGAGGGAAAAGAAGAAAGTTTGACATACCTGTAAAGGTCCTGCAAGTTGGAGCTTTCCCTGTGAACTTTATCCTGCTATGGCTTGCTACTTGTCCGCTCTTCATCTTATATACAGTTCTGAGAGCACTGTCGCGTGATACCGTTATCATGTGAGCTCGACCACAATGACAGCCAAATGAATCGCTCTTCCGCAACTCAATCAGAGTTTCAACGACTATGAAACTCTGTATTCATTTTCCACGCTAAACTTCTTTTAGACTTTTAAAGAGAAACAACCACTAAACCCAACCTCGTCCCCATGACGTCGAGCAGTACGCTACCATCTATACTTTGTCACCACAGTACTGAATAATATTAGCGTCTTCCAAAATCTTGGGTTTATACAGTAAACTCGACCCTTACAAAAATGTCCCAT